GAGTTAAGTGGTTCATGTTTAGGCATAGACTAAGACAATTCTCTAATGATTAGGTTATGGCCAAGTTGACATAAATGTTGAGTCAGTTAGATTATATCATTTTTAGTATCTATCACAACTATAAATTCTTAAACCAACTCTTATATATTTTATTATAAAAAATACTAATATATATTTATTCACAAATTTAATAACTAAATGAGTTAAGTGGTTCATGCTTAGATATAGATTAAGACAATTATCTAATAATTAGGTCACGGCCAAGTTGAGATAAATGTTGAGTCAATTAGACTATGTTACTTTTAGTGTCTAGCACAACTATAAATCCTCAATAATTGTAAATATAAATATAAATATAAAATTTTATCAAAGTTTTAATTTTTTTAATAATTATGCATAAACATGTACATATTTTGTTATTTTATTATAAAAAATACTGAAATATATTTATTCATCAATTTAATAAATAAATGAGTTAAGTGGTTCATATTTAGGAATAGACTAAAACAATTCTCTAATGATTAGGTTATAGCCTAGTTGAGATAAATATTGAGTCGATTAGATTATATCACTTCTAGTGTCTAGCACAACTATAATTTCTCAAGCCAACTCTTATATATTTTATTATAAAAAATACTAATATATATTTATTCACCAATTTAATAATTAAATGAGTTAAGTGGTTCATACTTAGGTATAGACTAAGACAATTCTCTAATAATTAGGTCATGGCCAAGTTGAGATAAATGTTGAATCAATTAGATTATGTTACTTTTAGTATCTAGTACAACTATAAATCCTCAATAATTTTAAATATAAATATAAAATTTTATCAAAGTTTTAATTTTTTTAATAACTATATATACATATTTATTATTTTATCATAAAAAATACTAACATATATTTATTCACCAATTTAATAAATAAATGAGTTAAGTGGTTCATGTTTAGGCATAAATTAAGACAATTCTTCAACGATTTGGTCATAGACAAGTTGAAATAAATGCTGAGTTAATTAGATTATGTCATTTTTAGTGCCTAGTACATGTACAATTATGAATCTTCAAGTCAACTCTTATTCTTCTGTATTTGTGAATTATGACATAGGAGAATTAAACATATTTTTAAACTTTTACAAAATAGACAATGGGTAGTTAATAAACAGACAAATATAATTTATTATATGATTGAGTTATCTTTGATATAAAATAAACTAAATTGCAAAACTTATAAGACAAAATGCATTTATATTTCATTATAAAAATAGTTTTTGTAATTTTATTGCACTTTTCTAAAAATACATTCTACCATAGTTTATTTATTTCTTATAAATAAATTTTATGTTATTATTTAATTTCAAATTTAATTTTTAATTATTTATTTAAACCCATACACTGCACGAGTATTATGGTTTATAAAATAATTTAAAAAAATTACACCCGTGCTATGAAGGTTCATTAAGCAAAGGTGAGTGAGAGAGAAGAATAAGAAAATGACCCAATATGAGATGCAAAAACTAGCGACTGTAAGAAAATCTAAAAATTGTACTTGGTAGATAAATATTGATTTCATGAAAAATAAGAGGATAAGTGTCACTGGTAATTCATTATTTGTCACTTTCATTTTGTTATTCAGTTTTTTGAATTAAACAAATTTTGCTAGATTGAGTTTCACAAAAAAATTATTCAGCTTGTTTAGGTTCAGTTTTCTGAAAATTAAGTTTTTTTTCGTGTTTTTTTTAGTGAATATTTTTAAAAATTTAAGCATTTTTTTTTTTACTTTTTTAGATGCACCTTACTTATATATATCTAAAAAGTAAAATATTTGTGAAAAATATTTTTAAAAATTAATAAATACACAAAAATACGAAAAATATAGTAATTTTTCATATTTGTTTTTTATTTTTGGTATTTAATGAATTTTTAAAGATTTTTTTTCACAAAAATTATACTTTTTAAGTGTATTTATATTAGGTGTGTCTAAAAATTAAAAAAAAAATGCTTAAAATATTAAAAAAAATCAGTAAAAATAAAAAAAAATACGAAAAATAAGAAAGTAGAATTTTCTGAAAAGTTTTTTCAAAAAACTGGAAATAAACATGGTGATTATTATTATTGCTATTATATGGCATACTAAAAAAATGTAATTGGTAAAAAATAATTATTATTATTATTGAGTTTCACATAATTTACGATATGATCTAATATATAGCAAATTAAAATTGTGAAACCCTTAGAAAATAATAATATATTTATATTTTATCATAGGTGTAGTTTTTGTTCTTAAAAGTACAATTTTATAATTTATCAAAATTTTGATTTAATTTTTACTAATTACATTATGATTCACGTTATTGTTATTTATGACTTAAAACATAGCTTTAATGGTAGGAGAAAAAATCATAAGTGAAATTGTGATAAAAATAGATAAAATTAAATTTATTTTATTTTAAAATTAATTATTAATGTTTTTAAAAAAAGAAATCATACCTAGTACGAGTGTTACGCTAATATTTTAATAAAGGGAATCATAAATTTAAAGACGAAAATATTGCTATTCTCTCTCTCCTTTCATATGTTGTAACCTAACCATCATCAATGGAGCTATGGTACCCACTAAGCCACTTGTCACTCACAATGATGATGCCCATGTTTCCAATGTGCTTGAACCTCCCAAACCCCATGGTCCTACCACCACCCCAACCAAGATCCACACAATTGGACCACAATGGTCAAACCCACCTTCAATTTCTAACCTTCCCTCCCATGCAAACTTATATTTGTTTAATTTATATAGAATCACTATATATATCTCATGTCACGAAAGAGTCCAATTGGTAATTATTTTATACATCATGGGATCATCGGATTCCTCTATAGACGGCCAAAGTAGTGAGTTTTGGCCCTTTTTCTTGTCGTTTTGCCCAAAGTATCACACCAACACAACCTCAATGGTATCAAAGTACTAATCATTCATGTTTATAGTGCATTAATTTGTTAATTATATGTCAACTTAGTGTGTGTCATTGAAAGTGCCCATGGATTGTTCACAAATCACTAGATCACCATTCTACAAAGTAATGATTAATTATTGTAACTTATTGCTCAAGGTCGGCTTGGGCTTTTTCTTTTGAGTTAATTAAGATTCCAAATCTTTGCTTTTTCTTAAAATCAACCATTTTGGGCAAGTTGTATGAAATCAATTGAAATAAGGTTTTAGAATATGCTCATAATTCAACATTTTGATTTTTTTTTAAAATTCCTTTTGTACCATGGTTTGCAAAAGTGATCATATGAATTAATAAAATCTTAAAAGAATAATATTGAAGCGTGAGAGGAGATAGATGATTTAAATTCACTTTTAGCGCATGTTTGATTTCTAATTAAAAAAGGAGAATTGAATTAGTTATTGCGGAAGTCATTAATCTCACATTTGGTTGCATAATTTAAGACGGGGATAGTATGTTAGGTAAGATATGACACTATAGCCTATTGGAATGGAATAACTTATTCTCATTTGGATTGAGATATAGTAGGAGGATAAAAAAATTATAAGAAAATAAAAATAATAAAGCATACAATAATGTTATCAAATCTCGGCCTTCCTAAATATGAGATGACAATATATGTTATTTTTCACATTTTTTTCCTATATCTTGCCTATTATTCCATCACTTATCTCAAATATCCTCTTTACTTATCCTATTGACTCATTATCTCTCACTTATTCCAGTAATATTCTTATTATCTATCTTTTTATAATGTTTAGCAATCAGATATACAATAAGGTTAGAGTAATTAGTACTATCATATTTGAAAAGTAATATGACAAATAACTAACTAAATATGATGAGCCTTATTTAGAAAATATCAACATTAATATTTTGTGAATCCATCAAATAATATAGTTATTACTATATGATTATTTGCATGCATTATTACAACAATATTAACATGCCATTAATGTTCTCTATTATATAAAAATAAATAAATTAGAATATCATTAAAAAATAGGGATTAACTTCCTTCCAGTCCGTGATCGGACTGGAGCATGTTGTTGGGGCAGTGGGGGCCCACCACAGGTCCTATTTTGATAATCCAAACCGTTCAATGTGTAGAACTCGTCGAGTACTATATAAATGTAAAAAATCATGTTAATCGGATATTGATAGCTATTTCATCATATCAGATTTCTGTCAACCGTTTATCTTTTTACCGTCTATTTTTTTTAAGACAAAACTGATTTGATCACGTAGTTATCGATATCCAATTAACGTGATTTTTTATAAATATATAGTACTCGACGAATTTTATACATTCAATGATTTAAATTATCAAAACAAGACCTGTGGCAAGTCTCTACAAGCCCAACAAGATTCTCAAACCGGAGAAAAGCCAAATCCTAAAAAACACACCATTATGGTATAATAAAATAAGTAGCTAGTTGCCATATAATTTGTGTCTGCCATCAATGCCTGAACTGTGAAATACATAGTTGGCCCATCCACCTAGTGAATGCCCTCAAGAAACCAGACATGACAAAGACCCACCATGCACATTGAAATTGCACCCAAATTTCAAACAAATCAAATGCCAAATCCGTAATTAAAACCCATATATCCATGGCGATTACTATGCACCAACACCATTACAGGGTGTGTATATACATATAAATAACTGCACTTATAAATTTTTTATATAAAATTCTTTACCGAAATAACGTGACAGTATCATCAATATTAATGTCATTTTGTAACAATAACAATGTTATATAATTAAAAAAGTTTAAATAAAAAAATATTTAAAAGTTATGTCAGTAGATTATATTCATTATGAATGTGGCTTGTAAGCCGCAAACTTTAAATATACATCTCATTTGAGTGGATACATATCATTTTTTTAGTAGGTATTTTGTCTTTTAATAATTTCGATGCAACTAGGTATTCTATATACAAATTTAATATATTTGTTTAATTTATATAGAATCACTATATATATCTCATGTCACGTTTCATCACTTGCATTACTGCCACCCTCATTCATATTCCAAACAAACAACTCCCTCACTCGGTCCAAAAATGCAGGCCAAATCCTGCCATAGCATCCCACCTCCAATATTCCCAGCATCTCCGGCGAAGTCACTGCCGGCGAACAAAGTTTCTTTTCCTGCAAAAATATCCCGAGCCATCTCAATCACCGCCCCGGGGGACGTAATTTCAACCCAAAACGTCGATGACACGGTGGCCGCATTTTGGGACTACCAATTTCTCTTTGTGTCACAACGGTCAGAAACCGCTGATCCAATCACCCTCCGTGTTGTTGATGGAGCGGTCCCACCGGACTTCCCGTGCGGGACCTATTATCTCACCGGGCCGGGGGTGTTCACCGATGACCACGGCTCCACAGTGCACCCCCTAGACGGTCATGGGTACCTTAGAGCTTTCACAATTGATGGGGTCAAAGGAGTGGTCAAATTTATGGCTAAGTACATAAAGACTGAGGCTCAGACCGAGGAGCGAGACCCGCTCACCGGGAGGTGGCGGTTCACGCATCGCGGCCCGTTCTCAGTCTTGAAAGGTGGAAAGATGGTTGGGAACACTAAGGTAATGAAAAATGTTGCGAATACTAGTGTGTTGGGGTGGGGAGAGAGGCTGTTTTGCTTGTGGGAGGGTGGTGATCCTTATGAGATTGATTCAAGGAGTTTGGACACCATAGGAAAGTTTGATGTGATCGATGATGACGGTGATGGCGGTGGTGGAGGTGATGGTAGCGGCGAGTCGGAGATGGTTGGAGAATTGAAGGGTGGTTTCTGGGATGTGGCTGCAACATTGTTGAAACCGATTCTATATGGTATGTATTACATTATGAATTGTTTTTTAATATGTAGACAAACTTGATGATGGGGGTTTGCTTTTAGGACAATATCTGATCCTCTGTCATAATTTTTTTTCTTTTTCCGTCTGAGTTTGTTGTGTTTTTATAAATTATATGTCATCCATTTATATAATTTAACAATTTCAATTTAAAAATAAAATAAAATAACAAAATATCTCAATTTTTTTTTATTTTAATAATATTAAAAACTCACATTTTGCACCTAAAAATGGAGCAAGGATCCTCTATACTCAAATATTCATGTCCCTCTGTCCCAAATTACTCATAACCATTGGATCATATGAGAATCTCAAGATTTGAGAATCTCAAAACATATCTAATAGTTGTAAGTGATTTGGGACAGGGGGACAAATATTTAGAGACAGAAAATCCTTGAGCCTACAAATGCATCCACAATGATGTGGTAAAGATGGGGGATCTCATATCATGAAGTATAGAATCAATCAAAAACTATCACATAGGTTGAGTTGTGAAAGATTTATGAAAACCTTAAACATTTTCTCTTTTTTCTTAAACTACAAAAAATAATATCATTTTACTTCAACTTCAAATCTAGACTGTTATATTGTCAAAATAAGATCATCGTAGATGTATCCCTAACAAAACAAAAAAAAAATCATGATATCATAACTCATTATTAGATATGTAAAATATTAAGTCTCGTATTCTTTTGATAAAAAAATATTATATTATTGAATATTTTTTTTTGGGGGGGCTATAACTTGGACAGGAGTGTTTAACATGCCACCGAAGCGGTTGTTATCCCATTACAAAATAGATGCAGGTAGAGATAGACTTCTTATCCTGTCATGCAATGCAGAGGATATGCTGCTCCCTTGCAGTCATTTCACCTTCTATGGTGAGTAACATGTCTCTCCCAAAATTTAAGAAAAAAATATTTAAAATAATTCTATTTTTATGATGCTATAAGTGAGCATGTGTATAGTGCAAGTGAAAGTAATGGCATATGACACAATTTTCACTTGTTTAGATTTGTACCTTCTTAAAAATGCAATTGTTATGAATTGTTTTCACTTAAATATAATTTTTTTAAAAAATTTATTTTGCATGTGACTTAGACTACACTAAATTTTAATTTATACTTTGTAGATATTTTGTAGATACATAGCATTTCTGATAACAAAAATATATATATATATATATATATAAATGCCTTATCCAAAGTGATATAAATGTGATATTATTGAAATTATTAGTCACATGATTTACTCTATAATAATTATGTTGGCGTTGTTAGGGAAAATATAAATTTTTCCACAAGTAAATCAATCAATGGGAATAAAAATTAATGCGAAAAAATTAAATCAAAAGCAACACAAGAATTTTTTCGTGGTTCCCTCAATGTGAGGTACGTTTACGAGATCAAAATCCGATTTCACTATCAACCAAAGAATTTTCAAATGATTACAAACGAGACACGAATGGTCTTACAAACCACCCTTAGGTGAATTTCAAATAATCACAAATAAACAAAGAGGAAAAACCTCACCAAATAAATGAATAAAAATCTTTAGAACTAAAATTAAAGAAGACCCAAAATAATAACCCAAATTAACTTCACCACACCAGTCGAAACGAAGTAAAGAAAATTCCACACAGCAGCAACCGAATAATAATAGTGCTTTGGAAGAACAAAACTTGAATCAATTTGTAGCACACTTACCAAGGATGAATAATCAAATAGCTGCTACCTCACTCTAATCTTTCGGAAGACTAAAACAATATATATATATATATTATTGAGTCTTGGGCCTTTTATCAAAATCTTAATTGTTATCAAATTGAATTGGGTCTCCACAAATTAAATATATTATAACCAATCCCAAACCAAATTAAAATTCTTTTTCCAAAACCAATTGGGTCTCAAACTCCAATAAGGAGATATACCCCAACAATTCTCCCCTTATCAACTTAGGTGGAGACATCAACCATATTCGCCAAAGTTCAACACTTTAAATGTTTGTCCCTCGATAAAGTCTTAGTCAACATATCCGAAATATTATCATTTGTGTGAATCTTTTCGAGTTGCAAAAATTTCGAATCTAACACATCACGAATCCAATGGTGTCTCATATCAATGTGTTTCGATCTCGAATGAAAAGTAGAATTTTTGCTTAAGTGAATAGCACTTTGACTATCACAATAAAACACATATTTTTCTTGCTTCAAACCCAACTCTTGCAAAAATTTCTTCAACCATAACTCTTCTTTACAAGCTTCCGTAATGGCAATAAATTCAGCTTCGGTAGTTGAGAGAGCAACACATTTTCGTAATTTAGATTGTCATGCTACAGCTCCCCCTGCAAATGTCATCAAATACCCCTAAGTAGATTTCCTAGAATCAACAACACCAGCCATGTCAGAATCTGTGAACCCATCAAGTATCGACTTACCATCTCCAAAATACAAACACACCTTCGAAGTCCCTCGAAGATACCTTAGAATCCATTTTACCGCTGCCCAATGTTTTTTACCCGGATTAGAGAGAAACTGACTCACTACACCAACGGCGTGAATAATATCCAGCCTTGTACAAACTATGGCGTACATCAAAGAACCAACTGCTGAAGCATAAGGAATTTTTAGCATATCTTCCTTGTCTTTTTCACTTATAGGACATTGATTCAAACTAAGTTTGAAGTGACCCGCAAGCGGACAACCAACCGGCTTTACTTTATCTATGTTGAACCTCTCAAGAACTTTCTTAATGTAGCTTTCTTGAGACAACCAAATCAGCCCCTCTTTGCGATCACGAACAATTTTCATACCAAGAATTTGCTTTGGCGGTCCCAAATCTTTCATAGCAAAAGACTTGCTCAACTCCAATTTCAACCTGTTAATTGTGGTAGAATCTTTACCCACAATTAACATGTCATCAATATAAAGTAAAAGAATAATAAATTTACCATTCGGGAAATTTTTCACAAACACACAATGGTCCGAAGTGGTTTTAAAAAAACCACTATTTGTCATGAAAGAGTCAAATTTTTTGTATCATTGCCGCGGGGCTTACTTGAGGCCATACAAACTTTTCTTCAATTTGCAAACAAATTTCTCTTTCCCTTTCTCTACAAAACCTTCCGGTTGCTCCATGTAAATTTCTTCTTCAAAGTCACTATGAAGAAATGCAGTCTTCACATCAAGTTATTCAATTTCAAAGTTCATACTTGCAGCCATGCCACGTACAACCCGAATAGAAGACATCTTCACAACCGGCGAGAAAATCTCATCAAAGTCAATATATTTCTTTTGCCCAAAGCCTTTCACAACAAAACGTGATTTGTACCTTAGATTCTTGCCATCATTCTTCAATTTGAAGACCCACTTATTTTTCAAAATTTTTCTCTCCTTAGGCAACTTCACTAAATCATAAGTGTGATTTTCAAGTAAGGAATTTAACTTCTCTTCCATGGCCTTTTTCCAATCATTTTTCTTTGCATGCTTAATTGCTTCTTGGTAGCTCTCAGGCTTCCTTTGATCAGAAATCAACACAAATTCATTGGGAGGATACGTTCTTAAAGGTTGTCGGTCCCTTCTAGATTTCCTCAACTCAAGTTATGGTGGTGGGTCTTGAGTTGGATGCTCTTCCTCAATTTCGAGCTCAACTTCATTAGGATTAGAATCATCCTCCACATCTTCAATAGGTGGTTGCACATCTCTCCCATTTTCATCATCAACTGAAGATGAAGGAGATGGATCCATGTCAATGAGATCACTAATTTTTGGCTCCGGTTGATCACCTTTGCCAAAGTCTTTAATTGTTTGGTTTTCAAGAAACACAACATCACGGTTTCGAATGACTTTTTTGTTGACCGGATCCCACAATATATACCCGAATTCATCACGTCCATAGCCAAGAAAAATACATTGTCCTGACTTACTATCAAGCTTGGACCTCTCATCATTTGGAATGTGAATAAAGGCTCCACAACCAAACACTCTCAAGTGCTCATAAGACACATCTTTACCGGTCCAAACTCTTTCTGGAACATGACCATTCAAAGGATAGGAAGGAGACAAATTGATCATGTCAACCGCTGTCTTCATTGCCTCACCCCAAAAAGATCTTGGTAATTTAGCTTGTGAAAGCAAACACCTTATTCTTTCCGCAATGGTGCGGTTCATCTTCTTGGCAACCCCATTTTGTTGAGGAGTCTTCTTAACTGTCTTTTGGTGCCGAATATCTTGGCCTCGACAATACTCATCAAATGGCCCAATGTATTCACCACCATTGTCTGATCGGATGCACTTCAATTTCTGCCCTGTTTCTCTTTCAACGATGGCCTAAAAATGCTTAACTACTTCTAGAACTTGATCTTTAGTTTTTAGTAGAAAAACCCAAACTTTCCTTGAATAATCATCAATGAAAGTAACAAAATAAAGTGCACCACTATGTGTTCTAACTTTTAAAGGACCACAAACATCCGAATGAATCAACTCCAACATATTTTCTTTTCTAGAAGCAACATTTTTATGAAAAGAAACTCTACATTGTTTACCTGCCAAACAATGAACACAAGTTTTAAGATGTGTACCTTTCAAACCAGGTAGAAGCTCTTTCTTGAACAAAACCTGTAGCCCCTTTTCACTCATATGGCCAAGCCGCTTGTGCCACAATTCGGTAGAAGTATCATCTTCAAGTGCATTGACAACACCTTTACAAATTTTTCCTTGCATCGAATAAAGTGTATGAGTCTTCTTGCACTTAGCCACCACCAAAGAACCCTTTATGAGCTTCCATATTTCATCACCAAATTTGTTGTTGAAGCCTTCATCATCTAGCTTCACAGTAGAGATCTAATTGAGGCGAATGTCGGGAACATGCCTTACATCTTTAAGCAACAACTTGTAACCCAAATTTGTTTCTAAGCAAACATCACCCATGCCAATAATCTTGGATAAACCTTCATTATCCATTCGAACAGAACCATAATCTCCTTTGGTGTAGGTAGTGAAGAAATCAACTCGAGAAGTCACATGAAAAGAAGCACCGGAATCAATCACCCAATTGTTCTCTTGGCCCACAAAATTGATACAATCATCTTCACAAACGACTATGAGATCACCATTGGTAATAACTGCCGTTGTGTCTTCTTTCTTCTTATCCACACTTTTGTCACGCATTTTCTCATTGTTCTTGAGCTTTCAGCATTCCCGCTTTATGTGCCCTTTCTCATGGCAATAGTAACACTCAATGTCTTTCTTTGAAAAAGAACCATCTCTTGATTTGTCACGGTTTTGATCACGACCATAAGGAGTCTTACTCCTCCCCCTTGTTTTGCTTCGGCCTCTCACAACAAATGCTTCTAAATGAAAGGAACCCGCTGATTTTCTTCTAGTTTCTTCATTCAACAGGCTACTAGTGACTTGGCTCATTGTGACAACTCCATCGGGTGCCGAATTACTAACGGTTACAACCAAAGTCTCTCAACTTTCGGGCAAAGAACTAAGTAGAATCAAAGCCTTCCATTCATCATCAAAAATAATTTTCATAGAAGCAAATTAGTTAACAATACTCTTTATTTCATTCAGATATTCTGGAATAGGACTGCCCTCTTTATATTTTAAATTAACCAACTTACGAAATAGAAAAACTTTATTTGTGGCTGATTTCCTATCATAAAGGCCTTCTAATTTTTTCCATAAATCATGTGTTGAAGTTTCAGTAGCAACATGATGAAACACACTGTTATCAATCCATTGATGGATAACACCAACAGTTTTTCGATCAAACCTATTCCATTCATTATCTTTCATACCTTCGGGTTTGCCACTATCACCCCTAATAGACCCATACAAATCTTTACAAAATAATAAGTCCTCCATTTTAGTTTTCCAAGTTACCCAATTGCTTCCATTGAAGCTAGACATACGACCCACATTTTCCTCCATTGATTTACACAAATAAATAAACTCAAATGAACCGTAAGCTCTGATACCAGTTGTTAGGAAAAATATAAATTTTTCCACAAGTAAATCAATCAATGGGAATAAAAACTAATACGAAAAAATTAAATCAAAAGCAACACAAGAATTTTTACGTGGTTCTCTCAATGTGAGGTACGTCTACGAGATCAAAATCTGATTCCACTATCAACCAAAGAGTTTTCAAATGATTACAAACAAGACACAAATGATCTCACAAATCACCCTTAGGTAAATTTCAAATAATCACAAATAAACAAAGAATAAATACCTCACCAAATAAATGAACAAAAATTTTTAAAACCAGAGTTAAAAAAGATCCAAAATAATAACCCAAATTAACTTCACCAAACGAAGTAAAGAAAATTCCACACAGCAACCGAATAATTGTGCTTTGGAAGAACAAAACTTGAATCAGTTTTTAGCACACTTACCAAGGATCCAAGGATGAATAATCAAATAGCTGTTGCCTCACTCTAATCTTTCGGAAGACTAAAGCAATATATATATATATATATTATTCAGTCTTGTGTCTTTTTATCAAAATTCTAGTTGTTACCAAATTAAATTGAGTTTCCACAAATTAGATATAATATATTAAAAGCATATTATAACCAATTCCAAACTAAATTAAAATTCTTTTTCTAAAACTAATTGGGTCTCAAACTCCAATAAGAAGATATACTCCAACAGCTGTATCATTGTTTAGGAAGACGATGTTCAAGTCAAAAAATCATTATAACAAGTCAATTCATTATTTTTATTTTTTTACACGGTTTCTTGTGTGTATAATATCAAAAAATATTTTAAAAAAAAATTTCAAACAAATTCCAAGTGAGTCATTCCTCGTTCCTAACTAGTAAGGGGGAGTTACATGAGATCTCATAGTAAGATTTCTCATTACGCCGTTAATTTAGATCACAATACAAATAACATTACATACTACTTTCACAATACCCAACAATTTATTGGGATAAATTATCAATAGATTTTACTTTAAAAATTATTATCTATTAAGTCCTGTTAATAAATTTATCAATCTTTTTTATTTTTATAAATAAATTTACAATAATAAATTTACCAATTGAGACCTATAAACAAATAAATATAATTAATAAGTATCCTTAATTATTGTGCAATCCTTTTGTCTCTTGTGTTTCTAAATTTCTTCCTTCCTTTTTAAGTATAGAATTGACTAAAAAGTATTGGCTTCCTTCTAGCATATCATGTGTGAAAGTGAAGTGGGCAAAGCACTAAATACAATTTTATGTTTATATTCTGTAAATACAATTTTACAAAGTAAATGCAGCCTATAAATAATGACAAAAGTAATGTTGTTGACAAGGAATGCACCTCATTATAATAACAAGAAAAATGTTATATGTCTTAAATTTTCTATTAAATAAATAATTAAATGTCTCATTTAGGTGTAGAGTTCATAAAATTGTAAATCTCATGAGACATTTGGTCATTTATTTAGTAGAAAATTTGGTTTCACTAATATTATCCTAGTAACAATTCCAAAAAGGAGGTCGTTCCCTTCCATTGTAAAATTTGGATTGGAGAATGCTATTTGGGTTTGTGTGACTCACCACATATTTCATTTTAATAATCTGAATTGTTCATTTTGTTGAACACTTCATGTATTTTATCCATACAAAAAGTTAGATTGATCTGATAATTGTAACCTGTTCATTTACTATATTTTTCACCTAAAAAATGGACGAAAATTATGTTTTTAAAAATAAACCATACATTTTTTTTTATAACAAATACAATAAATTGAACAAGTTATATTTACCAGATCGACCTAATTTTTTTATGGATGAAATATATGAAGTGTCCGATAAAATGAATTATTTAAATCATCAAAATAGGGCCTATAATGGATCCCACTACCCCAAACAATGCCCTCCAATCTAGATTTTGACCGGAAGGATCCTATTCCTTTAAAAAAAAAAATGATCAACGCATTTATATAGTGTAATGTTGTATATAAATAAATTTTTTTAATATAAAATTTGGTAATAAAACTCGCACTAACAAATACAAAAAACACTATGGTGCACACCTTTCATATGCACCTTACAATTAAAAAGAAAAATGACATAATTTTAATTTTTTGAGTTATAACTAAAAAAAAGAAGAAAAAAATGTCATAATTAAACATAATATGAGGCATAATTAAATAACTCATGAGTCAAAACTAAAATAATGTCATAATTAAAGAAAAAAATTAGTCATAACTAAACAAAAAATAATATAATTAAAAGTACATATGATATACTTATTTTAAAGAGCTGTTTATTAGAATTTTCTAATAAATACATATAACATTTATTATCTTTATCTCTAGCCAGTGACAAGAAAATTTACTAAAAAATCAATTTGTGTACAACATTTTCATTTTATTTAATCTAAACTAATGTTACAAACACACATGTTCTGTTCAATATACATATAACACTCACTTGTATATATCAAGTAAAATAAAATGTTAAAAATGACGGTTTTGTTTAATATAATTTTTTTGGATACTTACATGTAGGTCTTAATAAGTAAACTTATTGTTTAATAGATCCTATGAGAAAAATTTGTTATAAAAAAGTCACAAATTGTAAGTTTTAGCGACAATTTATAAAAATCATGACAAAAAAAGTCACTAATTGTCAATTTTTAGCGACATATGTAAAAAATTGTCACAAAAAAATTATTTTTAGCTACAATTTTACCAAGACTTATTTTCAATAGGACTTGATGGGAATTAAGTCCAATTATTAGGACCTATTGGTAGTTTACCCAAAAAAAATTTTTTTTGGGCAAATTATTACATTAGTTCTCATATTTTATTCCTTATGTTATTTTAATTCTTATAATTTTAATTGATTTAATTTTGATTCTAAATTTATGACTTTATTTCAATTTAGTACAATTGATTACAACTCTTAGTATTATTTTTTTTATATAAAAAATATACATATAAGTGGCATGTATCATATTTGTAAAAGCAAAATTATAAAGGTACTAAACTTAGTGAGTTAACCTCTACCAATTAAATGACTATTTTCTATCAAAAATATTAATCAGTGTTTGATTTGAGTTTTTTGAATTAAGTTTTTTGAAAACGCAGTTTTTTGATTTTCGTATTTTTTTATTTTTAGTGAATATTTTTAAAATTTTAAACATTTTTTTTACTTTTTTAGATGCACCTTACTTAGATGTATCTAAAAAGTAAAAAATTTGTGAAAAAATATTTTAAAAATTTGATAAATACGTAAAAATACAAAAAATGTACTGAACTCTCGTATTTTTTTTTATATTTTTGGTATTTAGTGAATTTTTAAAAGATTTTTTTCACAATTTTTTTACTTTTTAGGTATATTTATGTTAGGTATGTCTAAAAAGTAAAAAAAAATTGCTTAAAATATTAAAAAAATTCAGCCAAAAACAAAAAAAAATGAAAAAAAGAAAGTAGAATTTTCTGAAAAGTATTTTTGAAAAAACACAACCAAGCAAGCTGAATGGCATTATCAATTGGACCAAATTAACATAAAATTTAAAATTACGGATCAATATTGAGCTAATTAAAAATGTAAGGACCAAAATGATGCAATAAATAAAATGTAGGAACCACCGATATAATTTATCCAAATTTTTTTAGTGCATAAAATTTGATTATGAACATAACTCTCTCACACATAAAACATGACGTATCATATTTGCGGATCATATCTGATATGAGAGGATATAAACTCATAATCAATTCTTACCTTGTATTTTTTGAAGGGTATGTGTTTGGTTTTGTATTTGTAGAGTAGTTTTTGAAATAAAAAGTATGAAAACTTGTTTGGTTTGCTTTTTTTTCAGAAATGGTTTTGAAAAATTGTTTTGGGAAGAAAGTTTTAAAAAAAGTGATTGATTTGATGTGTATGGAAGAGAGAGTGATTTTGGAAAATAAGTAACTAAACAAAATTTTGAGATTTTTTTTGAAAAAATTTGTTTGGTTTGATTACTCTTAAAAATTTATTTGTAGATAATTTTTTCTAAATTTTTTTTTAAAAAACAAACCAAACAAGGCCAGCTTTTTAAAAAAATGTTGGAAAAAATGACCGCAGTACCTTTGGCTTGAATGAAAAATATAATTTTTTGTTTCTCACTCAATAATTCAATTTATTTGTTTATTTTTGCAGAATTTGATTCAAATTTTAAGATGGTACAGAAGAAAGAATTCAACATCCCAGATCACCTAATGATCCATGACTGGGCATTTACAGACTCTCATTACATATTATTTGGCAATCGCATCAAGCTTGATATAACTGGTAATTAATAGTTTAGCATACACACAAGCAAAAACACTATTTGATAAAAGGGAAATTTTATGGTACATAATTTTTAATGGGTGTGTATTATATGTACCTTATTATCTATTTTTATGATATGTATTACGTATTTTTATGGTAAATATTATATATTTTTCTGGTAAGAGTTATGACAATTTGCGGTTGAAAATTAAAGTTAGGCATTTTTATAGTAATGTTATGTATTTTGTGATATTATTACATATTTTGTAGTTAGAAAATGTTTAGATAAAAAAATGTATAACATTACTTAAAAATGTGCAATATTATTATATGTGTGAGTGATTTTCCGACCACACTGCCCGCTTAGTAACCAGCTGGAGAACACTAGCAGAATAGATGGCACCTGACTAACCTGCAACAGAAATATAAGAATTCCGCGGTAGTTTCAACTACCCGGGGGCACTCCGACGATCAAGTCAGTATATCTCTCAAAGATAAATCAAGTACTAAATTCACAAGCTTGAGTATCAAAAGCATACCTTAGACCCATGGGGGTGCCTCTCTTTTATAGCCAATACAATCCTAGTCCCAATAGGAGCCTGGCCCTAATGGACTTAGGATTAAGTGGGGTATTAACTATCCCACCCCTACCCCATTACTAATAATCCTACAAATTTGTTGGATTAACTATGCATTGAATTAATAATCCTAAACCAAAATATCAAAACAAATATAAAATGATTAGATCCACAAATTAATAATCTCAAATCCATATTTTAATTCTTCCAATCAAACATACTCGGCACAACGACCAAGACACGTGGCACCTCGGCTGACACATCGGCGTCACCTTGCCACGTGTTGGTACTCAGAAAATATATCCCCACAACTGCCCCCTAGGTTCTATTACCTCAGCATTCTGAGGTGATGGAACCTACACTGTTCGTTCATCTGGCCTCCTCTATCCGAGATCAAACTTGCCGACCTCAAAGTTCCCTGGACTTTACTGTCCACTGGTGTCAAGAATCAAGTTTCATGCTTTCCAAGCTGCTTGAAATCGCACCTCCTAGCTGAGGTTCTGGTTTCATTAATTCGTAAATTCCAAGAGCTTTGCAACTGCTCCACTCACACTCTCTGGTGAGTTCCCGATTTCCAGTCATCTATTTGACTCCGGCGATTTTCATATCGGCGTTCATTTCAGTTGGTAGGTTCATAAACTCTTTACTTGCTATTAAGCTCAATCTTTCATAACTCTTCTGTTTTACTTTGAATCTGTTTATTTGTCATCTGTTGCCTTCTGTTCTCGTTTGTCTTCAAGTTTTTGATTTCTTATTGCTAAAATGCCTTGAACTGTTCTTTGTCATATCCGCTTTCTGTTGCTAGCATCATGTCTGGTTCATTACTTTCTTGTTCTTCACATACTTACTTAGTGCCTGTGTACTTTTTATTCTTTGAACTTTGTCATCTTCTTGACTTCTGTTTTTTCTCTTCTTGTTTTTCTTGTCGTATTTCCAGATTCTTGCCTTCGTTTCTGTTTTCTGCATAGTCTTAGAACCACGTTCCTTCTTGAAATTGTTACCGAGATAGTAGTAGAGAAGCTCTTCTAGCTGATTGCCAATGCTGAACCACCGTCAACCATTTGAAGTAGATTAGTCCGACATTCTTGCCTTAGTCCCTAGTTCTTAGGGTCTTCATCTTTGTACTTTTGTTTTCTTTGCATATGTCACATTTTTTGCTTCTGAAAAATGTCTGTTGTTGGCCGGTGTTAACATCCCTTGCTCCTTGATTATCATTCTTTTTTCTATTGTATTTGATAGCCATGTCGGGTAATTGACTCCTCGGATTTCCCTGAGCTCCAGAAGTCTGTCTACTTCTTCCTCTACTGTTTCGGCGTGCATCAACGTTGGCCCTCTTGCTCGTTAGATTACAGGTTTGGCCGACCTGTCGACGTTCAATTTGTGGCATGTGACCTCGGGGTCAATGCCAGGCATTTCATAAGGTATCCAAGCAAATACCTCAATGTTTGCTCTCAAACAAGCTTCCAATTCTCTTTCTTCTTCTTCGGCTAAGCTTGAGAAGAAAGAAGCATTCTTCATCCTCTTCCTGGACGAGGATTTTATTTAGTGCCTCTTCACTCTTCTCGGCTGGCTCCTTGCCGACATCATTTAGGACCTCTATGTCCTCGTTTTCAATCTCTGCCTTCTCTAGTTCTCGAATGCTGCAGGTGGATTTCATTGCTGCCATGGAGCAATTCTCCGTCTACAGTTGATCCCCTTTGACTTCTTCAATCCCATGTTCTGTTAGGAACCGCAGTAGTTGATGCAATGTTGAGGGAACTGCCCCTATTGTATGCAACCATGGCCTTCCCAAGATGATATTGTTTGGTGAGGGCGTGTCAATCACCATGAATTCTGTCTTGATCTTCTTCTAACTGCTCTTGCGTGATTCTATACTTAGAATATTTTGCATGTCTTTCATACTTTGCCTTTTTGTGTGATCTTCTCGGTGTTACATACCTCGGGTATAATAGTTACAAAACTTTTACTTCGGCAAGATACTGACCTACAAACTTTTCATAAATTCTAACAAGTGTGAAACATATACTACTCAATGTTAACTTTGAAAACTTTTTCTCAAGTTTTAACAAGTGTTTAAACGGTGATCTCGGTCTAGCCTACTTGTAAATTGCTACAAATTTCAACAAGGATTAACATATACTGTAACATGGATCAACAAGGATTAACATAATAAGTGTTAAACAATAAGCTATTTGTAAATTGCTACGAATTTCAACAAGTGTTTAAACAACATACTTAGCTTTTTCCTCAACCTGTAAATTGCTGCAAATTTCAACAGATGATCATATGTCGGCTTAACGTTATCTTGTAAATTGCTACAAATTTCAACAAGTGTTAAGCATCTTCTTTGGTTTAACCAACCTGTAGATTGCTACAAATTTTTAGCAATAACCTCGGCTTTGCTTCAACTCGTAAATTGCTACGAATTTAAACAAGCGAAGAGAAACAATAATCTTAGCTTAACTTCAACTTGTAAATTGCTACAAATTTTAACAAGTGAAGATAAGGAACCATCTCAGCTTAACTTCAACTTGTAAATTGTTACAAATTTCAACAAGTGAAGGCAAGGAACCATCTCAGCTTAACTTCAACTTGTAAATTGCTACAAATTTCAACAAGTGAAGGTAAGAAGGAACCATCTCAGCTTAACTTCAACTTGTAAATTGCTACAAATTTCAACAAGTGAAGGTAAGGAACCATCTCAGCTTAACTTCAACTAATAAATTGCTACAAATTTTAACAAGTGAAGGTAATGAACCATCTCAGCTTAATTTCAGTTAAGCATCATCTCGACTTAACTTCGGTTAAGCATCGTCTCGGTTTCACTTCGGAACATCATCTGGGCTTAACTTCGGTTAAGCATCATCTCGGCTTAACTTCGGTTAAGCATCGTCTCGGTTTAACTTCGGTTAAACATCATCTGGGCTTAACTTCGGTTAACCATCATCTCGGCTTAACTTCGGTTAAGCATCGTTTCGGTTTAACTTCGGTTAAGTATTATCTCGGCTTAACATCGTTTAAGCATCATATTGGTTTAACCAACTTGTAAATTGCTATAAATTTCAACAAGTGGTAAACGCATTCTTTTTCTCTCTGCCCCCCCAGTGTGAACTTAAAATCCACTTGGGTTCTCATCATACATGTAGCTTCGACCTTGTCGCCGAGGTTTAATTCAAGCCGAGGTTGTCGGCCTTGGTTTCTCTATTGATCTTACTTGGCTCCAACCTGAGTTTGATTTTCGACCTCGCATCGGCGAGCCGTTTCTCTTTTCTTGTTCCGACGCCTTTGTTCTGGGCATGTCCTCCTCGGCCCTAGCATACTTCTCAATTTTGGCCAACTTTAGTCTGATCTTGTGTGTTTCCTTTTTATCTTTTGGGATCTGAGATCTGCTCATTGTACTCTTCTCTTCTCGGACTCAGGTGCCGAGATCTTATCTTTTGGAATCTTGGATCTGCTCATCAAGTTGAGCTCTTCTTTTCTCGGACCTACTTATTTAGGCCGAGATCATGTCTTTTGGGATCTGGGATCTGGGATTTGCTCACTCAGATTGAGCTCTTCTATACTTAAATGTTATCTCCTTGGGAGTGCTCATGCCTCCTGTCTTTGCATCCCTTTTAGAAGGGTTTTCGTTCCTCCCCAGGTATCTATCCTTCATTACCTGGAGGTCATCTTCGTTTTTGTATCCGCTTTGATCTGTTATCTTTGGTGCCTCACCTTCCTGGTCGGCGTCTTTCACTCCGTGACTCTGGTCACGAGTTTCTGTGTTGCGGTCGTCCCCTTCAACGTCGAGATCGATAGGTCTCCCACTCCCAGCAGGAGCATTGTCTCTAATCTGATCCTTCTATCCATCATTGGCCATCTATTCTTCTTTCTTTCCCACAGACGGCGCCAAATTGTGTGGGTGATTTTCCGACCACACTGCCCGCTTAGTAACCAGCTGGAGAGCACTGGCAGAATAGATGGCACCTGACTGACCTGCAACAGAAATATAAGAATCCCGCGGTGGTTTCGACCACCCGGGGGCACTCCGACGATCAAGTCAGTATATCTCTCAAAGATAAATCAAGTACTAAACTCACAAGCTTGAGTATCGAAAACATACCTTAGACCCATGGGGGTGCCTCTCTTTTATAGCCAATACAATCCTAGTCCCAATAGGAGCCTGGCCCTAATGAACTTAGGATTACTGCTAATTTGGGACTCCCAGTGGGATTAGGATAAACTCTCTAAGAGTCTTATCTTTACCCAAACTGAAGTCTTCTCCCAATCTAGGACTCTTGTCCATATCCAAGTTGAATTCCCTCTTTATTCTTGGACTCTTGTCCCTTATCTGCTTATCTCGGATTCCGATATCTTCGGAGGCAACCTCGGCCTAGCCGAGATGACCTCGGCACAACGACCAAGACACGTGACACCTCGGCTGACACGTCGGCATCACCTTGCCACGTGTTGGTACTCAGAAAATATATCTCCACATTATAAAATGCGTAATTTCATTTCTCTATGACAAATTATTGTGACTCTTATAGAAAAATATATAACATTTATCAAAAAAAAATATGTAACACATACTACAAAAACATGTAACAAGTTCATATGTACGCACTCCTGGAAGGATGTGTATCATGATATTTCCTTGGATAAAAATATTAAGTATTGAGATTCTCTTTGGTTTAAGAGCTAGTTGTTGTATTTTCATTGGGCTAGGATTTGGTTTGATGATTTGAATTGTGGATTTTGAAAAACAAATATGTTTTTTCTCAAAATTATACTTGTCGCTTATTTTTTTTAAAAATAATACAATTTGATCATGTGACAATAATTGCATTGTATAATCAATTTAATTTTTTTGCATAAATGATATTTTTCATGAATAATGTTTGAGACCCCCTTTTGGGGAGACCCCCACCACTCCCACAGTAATGTGGACCAATAATGTATTTGTATTGCTTTTTTTTTTTCTCTTTCTTATTTGGATCAATTACAAGTGAGTGGGGTTGTGTGAGTAATATTTTATAGGAATCTGAATCATTACTAATTTTTCATATGATCTTATAAAATAAATAATTCAAATCATTGAGTCCCATAGTGAGCCTACCAATAGTCAACCATACGCTCTGCTTGGGGGAATTACCAACAGAAGAAAATCTTCTTCCTAAATCGTTTAGATGGACATGTGAATCTTATTACAAGTTCTATTTTGATGATCTAATTTGTTCATTTTGTTAGTCTTTCTGTATTGATCGTTCACAAGAAAAATCAAATTGATTCATTAACGATAGATAGTTATTTTTAAAAAAGAACACTTGTCAATTATATTTTTTGAAAAAAAAAAGTAATGAAATGAAAAATGCTACGATTATCGGACGGACTTAATTCTTTTTCAAAGATAATATACACAGAAGGCTTATAAAAACCAACAGTTTAAATCATTGAAATGAAATCCGTGGTAGAGCTCATGAACCCGAGAAATTTGAACTTAAAGAGAAGCATAACCCTTATCCGAGATAGAAAAAGATACCGACTCATAAAAAATGCCCATAAATTTATCGTGAAAGCGAGTTTAAGGTGGAAATTAAGGTTCCTATTAACAATGAATCTAATCTACACAATTTAAATTTTGAATAATTTATATGTAATATTTTTTATTTTTTTTTATTTTTTCTGAGTTCATAGCATTCCTAGTGCAGGATCAATGGCAGCAGTGTTTGGGTTGTCGCCGATGATATCGGCATTGGCAGTGAACCCTAGCAAACCTACTTCTCCCATTTATTTGCTCCCTCGCTCTCCTCCTAATAGTAATGAACTCAACTATGGCAATGAGAGAGATTGGAGAGTCCCTATTGAAGCTCCTTCCCAGATGTGGGTTCTTCATGTTGGCAATGCTTTTGAAAACAGAGACGATGACAATACCAATTCTCAAATTCACATTCAAGCCAGTGTTTGCTCTTATCGCTGGTTCAACTTCCAGAAAATGTTCGGTAATTTTCTTCTAAAGTTCAAAAAAATAGGATAAATTATAATTATATTCCTGAGATTTGCTTAAAATACAAATTGTTCTCTGTAGTTTTGAAAATTACATCCCGCCCCTTGAAATTTCAAATTTAATAACAAATAGCTATTTTTATTAATAAATCATTAAGTCAATTAATAGTTTTTAATGATATCAAAATTTTATTTCAATAAATAATTTAAGTAATTTTATTATTGTATTGGAGAGTAGTTAGAAATTTTATCTTTTCAATTAATTCTATTAAATAAAAAAATTTAACAAATGAATATTTGTAATTTTTCAAACCACAAAAGATAATTTGTATTTTAAAAATCTCAAGAGATGTATTTATAATTTATCCAAAAAATAATAGACAAATTATATATGTGGTCCCTCTAGTTTATTTTTTGTGCAAATTTATTATACACCATGAGATTTTCTTAAAATGCGGATTGGCTACCATGTTTTTATAAATTACATCATGCCCTTTCAAATTTTTAAGGGGGATTTGGTGATAGTCCCCTCACTATCTAATTTGTCTTTCAAAATAACAAGAATTATATAAGTACTTTCAAAACCCCCTAACATTTTAAAACTTGTTTCTTTTACTATATTACCCTTATATCTATCAGCTCTCCTATTAAGCCATCTTCACTGTGTATTTCTGAGTAAAATTTTACTCTGTATAAAAGTAAAATTTTACACTGAATAAGAGTAAAATGTTACACTCTGAAACTAAAAGTAAAATTTTACTCTGTATAAAAGTAAATTTTACTCTGAAAAACTAGTAAAATGTTAGACACTACACAAAAATAAAATTTTACTCTGTATAAAAGTAAATTTTACTCTGAAAAACGAGCAAACTGTAAGACTCTGAAACTAAAAGTAAATTTTTACTCTGTATAAAAGTGAAATTTTACTCTAAAAAACTAGTAAAATGTTAGACTTTACACAAAAGTAAAATTTTACTCTGTATAAAAGTAAAATTTTACTCTGAAAAACGAGTAAACTGTGAGACTCTGAAGCTAAAAGTAAAATGTTACTCTGCACAAAAGTAAAAAAATGAAGGCAGTGTTTGTGGCGGCTGAAGTATTTGGCAATGACCACCTCTTGACAGTAAAATTTTACTGTCATTCTAATACCAGAGTAAAATTTTACTCTAATTCTCTCAAACAAAAAATAGAGTAATAGAACAAGAGTAAAATTTTATTCTCATTATCTGAAACAACAAACAGAGCAATAGAACCAGAGTCAAATTTTACTCTGGTTCTGTCAAATGAAATTAAATCAAAAACAACAAAAATAAATAAAAAAAAAAAAAAACCAAACAAACAAACAAACAAACAAAAACAAAACAAATTAATCAACATATCTAATTGAGAATAAAAACTTCTAAAACTCGATCAACAATCACAAATCTCAATTAAAAAAATACATGTGTTCAACAACACTCATACACACAAATATATATATATATATATATACATATATTCAAAATTCAAATCTGTGTTTAAAAAAATATGTATAACCAAACAACTCCACCAAACATGCCTCAATTCAGAGACGATTTGTTTCTCCTTGTAGACGATCTACTTCGATTCCGGCACCGGAGGACAATTTTCCGGCCCGTAGTTGATTTCGTTCCCGATACTCTTGATGAGTTCATCGTAGAGATTGGTTTCGGCATTGTCGATCGCCGGAGTTTCGCCTGATAACTGACCGGACTTGGCTTGGAGAGTGATGACGATGACGTTGCTATCATCGCCGGAGAAGAAGTTACCAAAATTGTCAAGAAACAGAGCTTCAGATCTGGAAGGAGGAGCACGCCAGCGGAGAACAAAGTCAGAAGGGAAAGATGGAGGAGAGAGACAGAGAAGGTGGGGAGAGAGTGGGTGGAAAAGGTGGAAAATTTTAGTTGAGGGTATAATAGTCTAATAAAATATTTAAATAATAAATTTTGTCCTTTATACAAGACTTTATAATTATGAGGGGATTTAGAAAGTATAATTTTTTTCTTAATCCTTTTAACAATGAAAAGAAGGTAAAGGGGGTTTATAACCAAATTTCCCAATTTTTAATGATGTTAGAAATATATTTCAATTAACTATTCATGCAATTTATTGTTATGTAGGAGAGTAGTTAGGAATTTTATTTTTTTATTAATTATGTTAAATAAAAAATTCTAATAAGGGGATATTTGTAATTTCCATAATCACACGGGGAATTCATATTTTAGGTAAATTTCAGGAGTATATTTGTAATTTACCATAGTTTTAATTATCACCACAACAAATCAAGGTTTTATTTTAAAAAAATAGGGGATTTGGTGATAGCCCCCTCACTATCTAATTTGTCTTTCAAAGGATGAGAATTATATAAGTACTTTCAAAACCCCCTGATATTTTAAAACTTGTTTCTTTTACTATATTACTCTCATATCTATCAGCTCTTCTATTAAGCCATCTTCACTATGTATTTCAGAGTAAAATTTTACTTTTATACAGAGTAAAATTTTACTTTAGTTTCAGAGTGTAAAATTTTACTTTCATACAGAGTAAAATTTTACTTTCATACGGAGTAAAATTTTACTTTGGTTTCAGAGTGTAAAATTTTACTTTCATACAGAGTAAAATTTTTCTTTAGTTTCAGAGTGTAAAATTTTACTTTCATACGGAGTAAAATTTTACTTTCATACAGAGTAAAATTTTACTTTCATACGGAGTAAAATTTTACTTTGGTTTCAGAGTGTAAAATTTTACTTTCATACAGAGTAAAATTTTACTCTGGTTCTGTCAAATGAAAAAAACAGAGCAAAATGAAATCAGATCAAAAACAACAAAAATAAATCAAAAAAAAAAACAAACAAACAAAAACAAAATAAATTAATCAACAAATCAACGTATCTAATTGAGAAGAAACACTTCTAAAACTCCATAAACAATCACAAATCTCAATGAAAATAATACATGTGTTCAACAACACTCATACACACAAATATATATATATATATATACATATATTCTACTGTTCCTCATCCACATCCTTCCCAACCTCCTGTTCAACTTCTTTCAATCTCGAAGCTTCAGCCTTCGCATTCAACATCGCAAGCATCTCATCAACAACCTCATCATGTTTCTTCTCCGCTTCCAATCAACGAAGCCATTGATTGAGGATGAACTTTTGCTATTTTGATCTTCTTATTGTTTCTATGGAGGCATTTGCTACCAGATCTGGTCACTCAGACCAGATCTCCTTTGAAACCCTAGCCATGGAGTCATCATCTATGTATATGCAATAGTTGTATCAGACGAAGCTTGAGAGATTGAGATTGTGATTATGGAAGATTTAATTGAGGATATAATAGTCTGATAAAATATTTAAATAATAAATTTTGTCCTTTATATAAGACTTTATAATTATGAGGGGGTTTTAAAAGTATAATTTTTTTCTTAGTCTTTTTAACAATAAAAGGAAGATAAGGGGGGTTTATAGCCAAATTTCCCTAAAAAAATTTAAGAACGAAATCACTATGTTTTAGTTGTAATTGTTTTATTTTTGGCAACAAAATTGAGTATTTAGTAATGAATTACTATAATTTTTGGAAAAAATTTGTTGTCTCAAAAATAAATAGGGGGATTTATTAGGAAATTCTTTTTTAAATACTTGTATCTTAATTAGTTCATAACATATTCTCGTATCGCTATAAGTCTTATTATTTGGATTGATCCACCAAATTCTAATTATCATATTTAAGGTATTTTATAGAAAATTTTACCGTTACAAATATTTTTTAAACATTTAACAACTTCGTGATGTGAACATTCATATATATATATATATATTTCAAGATTTGATGTGAACATTCATATTTGGCAATGTAAATATTCATATCACAGAATATTCACTGTCAATATGAATATTATTCGGAGTATTTTGATAACTATGTTTCCATAAAACTTATTGAAACACAAGAAAATAATTTAAAACAAGTAGAATGTAAGTAGATGAAGAAAGACTTACGAATAAATGTCCCAAATAAATATTTTTTGACAGCAAATTATTTCATCCCAAACTACATTTGTTAGTGTCTTTGGTAATGTTAGAATAATTTTTTGTTTGTGTCGCAACAGGATATGATTGGCAGAGTGGTAAACTAGACCCTTCCATGATGAATCGAAAAGAAGAGAACTTATTGCCTCACCTTGTTCAGGTTCTCTCTCTCACTCTCCACATCAACTCAAAGCAATTTGATTCTTTTAATTTAAAAAAAAAAATCAGAATTAAATTTATCATATAAACTTGATTTGGTACGGACTACACATTCCATGTTTTGAAACATTTCTAGATATTTTTCTATGAGTACATAAACTGATACATACAGATGAAATTTGCAAAACTTATTTTACAAACTATGAGGCTAGTACGTTATTTTAGTGGGTTTCATTTCAAAATCAAAATTTTGTTATTGAATGTCACCTTATGTGGTTAAGATTGTGAGGTATTGAATTATATAATTTCGATATACATAAATATCAAACACACGATTTAATAGTTGAAAGTGTATTGGGACCGAAGAACAAAGGAATCTAAGGACACAAAATCATGTGCCCACAAAATTTATCATTCTTCTACATGCACAGAATCCGATTCGATTCAGTGAGAGAATTGTGTTGGGTTGCATGATCAAATTCAGCACATTTAGAATTTTCCCAAGATTTATCAGAAAAGGTCATCTAATTTTTGGGCCTTTGCATCTATTGCCAAGAAATTAAAGAGGGTTTAATTAGAGTATAAGCTAGATTTGTCTACATTAATGCAGGTGTCAATAAACTTGGATGCAAATGGTGAATGCCAAGAATGTTCAGTGAAGTCATTGAATGAATGGAAAAAAGCATCAGATTTCCCAGTGATAAATCAAGACTACTCAGGTGCCAAAAACACATACATTTATGCAGCAACGACCTCTGGTTCACGCCAAGCATTGCCACATTTCCCATTCGACACAGTGCTGAAACTAAACACTTTGAACAAGTCCATCCACACTTGGTCTGTTGGGAGCAGAAGGTTCATTGGGGAGCCCATTTTTGTCCCCAAAGGAACCCAAGAAGAAGAAGACAATGGCTACATTCTTGTGGTAGAGGTGAGCACATTCAATTTTAAAAATCAAATTTTTCATGACATGAAATTATCTGTCCTTAAAATTTCTGTCCCCAATACATTTCAGTCAGTTGCACCAGATTTTCGTATTTGAGCATTTTTACTAGATTGTGTAGTTGAAGTGCATTAGGGAGAAGGAATAGAGATTTTGAGACGAGAAGATCCCATACTTAGCACATATTTAAAATTAGGACAATGTTTGAGAGCTCGAAAAAAGCCCCCCCTAATCCCCCTAATGCCCAAAACGACGTCGTTTTGGGCATTTTTTTTTCTTCTTCTTCTTCTTCACGCAGCTCTGAGACAGAGGGAGAGGGAGGGGAGAGAAAGAGAAAGAGAAAGAGAAAGAGGGAGAGGGAGAGAAGAGCTCGTCGCAGGGAAGAGCTTCTCCCCATCGCAGGGAAGAGCTCGTCGCCCGCCATCGCAGCTCCTCCCCTGCCGTCGCAGCTCCTCGCCGTCGCAGCCACTGCCTCTGCCTCTGCCTCCTTCTCTGCCCCCCGCCTCGGCCTCCACACCCCGATTTATTTGGCCCCCTCCAGTCTTTCGGCTTCCTCCTCCTCCTCCTTCCTTCTCCTCTTCTTCTTCTCCCTCCCCCTCCTTCTTCCTTCTCCTTCTTCTGTTTTCTGCAAATTTGGGGGATTCGGGGGTAGCTCTTTCGAGCTACCAAGCATGACCCTTAAAATTATTAGTCATTGTGTTTAGAATCATCAATAATCTATAAAATTTTATTATAAAACTTGAGTGATGTGAAAAGTTGTTTTCTGAAAGACCAAGGGGTTGGCTTGGTGGTTGAGGCACTTCCTGACGACATGTTAAGCCTAGGTCACGTCTTATCATTGCAAATGTAACTTCCTTTTCCCTATTCTTCGTCCTTCTCTTGACAAAAAAGAGAAAAAAAGAAGAAGTTATTTTCAAGGTGATTTGAACTTTATTTACCAAATGTAGGTATTTACCTTTGTTTATGTTAATGTCTATCCACCACCTATGTTAGTTTTGATCATTTTAATTTATTAAAAAGAAGGTTTATATAATTATATCAAACTTTTAGAGGTAATTGTATTTTTCTCAAATCTCAAGAGAGACGAGTGTAATTTACCATTAAAACAATAGTGTTATTATTAGTACCCCATCAATTATTTTGGACCTTCAATTTTTTAGTCTTTCTTTTATTACAATAACAATTTCAAATGAAATTACTAAAAAAGACATCAATAATTTTGGAACATATTATCTCACAATTAAGTCCACACACTCATTACATCATTAGTTGGGGTTTATGAGAGCATCTAATTCTATCACCACCCATCTATCTTCTCCAAATCCTACTTTCAAAATCTACCCATCCTTGAAACCTTGAAAACCCTTTGGCAGCAATATTCCGGCGGCAACGATAGCAACCATTTAATTACATACACTTCTCCAACAATAACAATGAGTGGAAGTTTTTCCAACAACCAAAACTCCATGAGACAATAGGAGTACAACAATAAAAATTTAGAAGAGGTTTATAACTTTGATGGTTTTCTTAGCTCAGAAGAGATAGGCCTTGTAAGGGAAAGTTTTTTTAAAAAAAGTAAAAAAATAATAATAAAAAAAAATTATTTGTTATTTTTTTGGGACTGAACTCCCGAACGTATGACCAAAATTTGGGAACATAAGCCCGACCATTGTTTATTTGTTCGGAAACAGGTAACCGAACATTTTTTATTTGTTCGGGAATAGATAGCCGAAGTAGCAGAAGAAACAAATAAACAAAAGAGGTCGGACCACCCTTGGGTGGTTGACCAGTGAGTGAAATTCTACCCAATTTTGCTCACATAGAGAGCATACAAGTTCCGTGACAAAAAACCAATCAGAGAAGTATGAAAGTGGATTATGTTGTGTGTGTGAAAAGAGGTAATAGAAAAAAATCAAACATATTGATAAATCTCGTAATGAAGCAGAGAATAAACTTCTTAATCATTACAAATTTTTTCCACTGGTTTTGGCAGGTTCCATCGTCGTGGGTTTTTTAGGATTTTGAGAGAGAAGCTTTTTGTGGAGCAGGGGGTGTGTATTTGAATGAGTGTGTAAATCAAAGTATAAAAAATGCAGCGGATAAAATATTTAGATCATACCTTTAAATGATAGAACCTCGTAGGTAAATCACGTGCTTCCAGAATCAGATACACCAACCCAGCAGTGAAGTGATATTACAGAATGAATATCACCCACACAAGTCACAGTGCAAATGACTTGATCGTTATTTTTGGAAGAGAGTCAGTATATGGGTAAAAAACAGATCATACGTTGTTTCTCTCTTGATCACCCATAACCCATATATCACATATATAATGTGTTATTATTATCTATCCATATCAGTTAATGGAGATAATATCTGTATCCTGAGTGGTTATCCTAAATAGGTTTGAATTCAATTTCAAAACCTATTTGGATAAGGTTCTTTTCTGGTCCGATTTTTGTACTGTCGGACTCTATTTTTCACAATAAAAACATTTATGGCATAAAAAAAAGACATTTAAACAACATAAAATTGAGGTATATCACTCTCTCAATCTAATGGAGTTAAAATGCAAAAAAAAACCGTGCACTTCATCTTCCTCCTCCATTAATATTCATGCATATATCATGTATATATATTTATATAAAAAATATACACATATTTTAATGCATAAAAATAAGCACGAAAATATCCATATTTATGGCTCTGATACCAATGTAAATCAAAGTATAAAAAATGCAGCGGATAAAATATTTAGATCATACCTTTAAATGATAGAACCTCGTGGGTAAATCACGTGCTTCCAGAATCAGATACACCAACCCAACAGTGAAGTAATATTACAGAATGAATATCACCCACACAAGTCACAGTGCAAATGACTTGATCGCTGTTTTTGGGAGAGAGTCAGTATATGAGTAAAAAACAGATCATACGTTGTTTCTCTCTTGATCACCCATAACCCATATATCACATATATAATGTGTTATTATTATCTATCCATATCAGTTAATGGATATAATATCTGTATCCTGAGTGGTTATCCTAAATAGGTTTGAATTCAATTTCAAAACCTATTTGGATAAGGTTCAAATTCAAATTCAAATGGTCACGCCACATGGGCGCCCATTACTAACAGAGTGGAATGTTTTTATAAGGATAATCTTGGTATTTGTTTGGGGGATAAAAGAAATTTTATGGATTTTACAATTTACAAGTGGGGGTCTAAAGTAATAAAGGGTCCAAAATAATTTATGGGGTGCTAATAGCATCACTCTAAAACAATAGGCTTGAAAGTAGTTGCCAAATCACATATGCTTAAACTAACTATTTAAATGTACATTTTGTTTTTGGTTTGAACCATTTACATGTACTAAAACACCAATGCCATGTGGTTGAGTTTTGCAGTATGCAGTTTCAACACAAAGATGCTACCTTGTTGTTTTGAGTTCCAAGAAGATTGGGGAAACTGGTGCACTTGTTGCAAGACTTGAAGTTCCCAGATCTTTGAATTTTCCACTTGGTTTTCATGGCTTTTGGGCGCCTTCTTCTACCTCTGTATTTCATATTTAGCAAAATAGTGAAATTTGATCATAGATGTTTTTTTTATTTCCTTGGGTTGGCCAGCAAGCAATAGGTATGAAGAAAGGGTGAAAATTTGGGGGAATGAAATTCACTTGCACATAGTAAAATTATGCAAGAATGTATTTCATATACTAGGGGTTTAGAGTTTAATTAGATGATCATTTTAAACAAGTTACATAGTTTGATTTAATTATTTTACAAAACTCTTAAAGATAATGTAATCGTGCTCAAGGGTTTTTTTAAACAAGTTACAAACTAGTTTGATTTATTAATTCGTGAGAATGTGATCATGGATGTTTTTTATTTACTTGGGTTTTGGGTTTTGCTACCAATGAATTTTTTGAGTTAATTTTGAGAATTTTGTTTTGAAAAGTGTTTTTGAGAAAGTTATCATTGTTTGGTTGTTTCACATTTTTGAATTTTGTAAAGTTCTGTTTGTTTTGACGTAAGATTTTTATAAAAAAATATTTTTCTTGTAAATTGATCTGACACAGAAAAAATATTTTTGTTTTTGTTTTTTGGCGTTTAGTTGACACTTGAAACAAAAAATGTTTTATTACCTAAAAGAGAAATTTTGATTCAATATATTATGATATTTTAGTAAGCTAAGATATTTATTTGAAAAGACTAAGGCTTCTTTTAGGAAGATAGAAAAAAAAACCACCTTATTGATTTATTTTGAACACATTACCTCTTTATTTTTTAAGGGAAAATTGGTCTAAGGTCCCTATCCAACTTTTAGTATGAGGAGAGATCCACAATAATATTTTCTGGTGTCTAAGGTCCCTCAACGTTAGTTTAGTTTATAAAATAGCTATTTTACCCTTTTGTATATTATACATGGTTTTCAATTTTGGAATCTGAAGATTACGTTACTATTTTTGTGGAAGATTACTTTGGGATAAACTTGGCGATCGATGGAGATTTCGATGATGCAGATTTCGTGGAAATTTTATAGGAATTTTGTAGTCGTATAGTAGTTGAGTTTCGTTGATCGTGTAGAAGTTGAAGTCGTGTTGAAGCTCGAATTTCCAGTAGAGCTGAATCAAGTAAGTTTAATAATCAGTTTAAGTTTTTTATTTTTCATTTGATTTGTATATATGGACTCCGATTTCAAATAAGTTTTTGTAGTTTATTTTGAATTAGGTTTTTATTTTCAGTTTTGATCAAAGTGATAGAAAAGCCAGCTTAGTGAATTATTTTTTGATTTTTGAAGTTGATTTTTCATTCTTTGTTATTGACAATGGAGTTGATTTTTCATTCTGTGTTACATGTTTATCAATGATAAGTTTTGTTCTTCGTGTTTGGAGACCGGCTCTGTTTTTCTTCACTGTCTTAAGTTTTGTGCTCTGTTTTTTTCATTTATTCTGCACTTTTCATTTTTCTACACTTTGCTTTGTATTCCAGAGAAAATTATATGTTCATATTCCAGAGAAAATTGTATGTTTATATTCCAGAGAAATTTCTCTGCATTCTGATTTGAGTCCAATAATGCACAATCACACAGAGAAAATTATAAGCTTGTAATCCAGTGAAAATCACAGAGAAGCTTATAATTTGATAACTGATCTTTTGTGTGATTTTTGTCTATGATTGTGTTTAATAGTTAGCATTGAATATCTCTGTGATTTTCTCTAGATTCATTAATTCTTCTGTAATTTTTTTTTTGTTATCTTGAAGGTGAATTTAAGTTTGTAAATTTCTCTGGACTTTTATTTGAGTCCAGAGAACATTATAAGGTAGGTATTATAATCCAGAGAAAATTATAATTATTAGAAATTTCTCTAGACTTTTATGTTGTTCTTGTGAAGTATTTTTATATTGAACAAGTTATTTTTGGTATTTTTTGTTTTAGTTTAGATGGACAGTGCAGTGTTATTACTGTGCAAATATGGGAATGATACTATTATCATTAATGTTTCATGCGAATTGAATTGATGATGCTATGATTTTACTTGCATTGAGTAAGAGACCAGCTGGGAGGCCAAAGAAGAACAAAATTGCTTCTACTGAAGAGTTTAAAAGGGTGATTAAGTAATCGATGTGATAGGATTGATCGCCATAATAAGAGGACATGCAATGAACCTTTGTTAAATAGTTGAGGATATTACATTTATTGATTGAATAATACATTTGAGAATTACTTTGTGTATTTTGTTTTGTGAAATGTACTTTTTGGACAATGCATATGTAATACCAATCAAATTCATCCAGAGAAATTTTTTAATAGCAGTGAAAATTACTTTTTGTGTTGCGTTTTTAGAAACATACTTTGGGAGTGCCTTTATAATACCAATCAAATTGATCCAGAGAAATTTTCTATAGCAGAGAAATTTGCTATGTGCATTGTGTTTGTTGAAATGTGCATTGTGTTTTGTGAGGTCAAATTCATCCAGTGAAATTTGTCAATAGTAGAGAAATTTGTGAGGTCAAATTCATCCAAAGAAATTTACTATGTGCATTGTGGCAAATTTATCCAGAGAAATTTGCCAGTAGCAGAGAAAATTACTTTGTGCACTATGTTTTGTAAGGTCAAATTCATCTAGAGAATTTTGTGAGGTGAAATTCATTCAGAGAAATTTACTATGTGCATTGTGGCAAATTCATCTAGAGAAATTTGTCACTAGCAGAGAAAATTACTTTCTGCACTATGTTTTGTGAGGTCAAATTCATCCAGAGAAATTTGCTAATAGTGCACTGTGTTTTGTGTGTGCTCAAATTCATCTAGAGAAATTTACCAATAGCAGAGAAAACTACAATGTGCATTGTGTTTTTTGAATTTGATGATTGTTTCGTACCAACACAGTGCATTACAAATTACATGATCATATAGGCACCATTTTGGCACGATACAAGTTAAATTTTTTTGTGAAATTCTGGTAACTTCATACAAGAAAATTTTCTTTAGACAATTTTTTTTGCGTGGATTGTGTTGATAATCACCACTAAATATGCATTATAAAAAAAAATATTTAACCATTGATAGTTATGAAATTTACATTAGTTAAAACAATATATATACATATATGTCAAAAACATCATTTCTTCAATGTACGAAAAAAAAGAAAAAAATTGAAGGGTCATTCCTAATTACATTGTGTACATTGTCTTCATTTCACTAGTATGCTTTCACTATTGTACTTTTAGTTCTTCTTTTGGTGATATTTCAATTGGTTCTGTCCATGACCGGCCAATTTCGGTCGCAAATCTCTCTATGATTTTCTGTCCTCGTGAACCTTACGTCTTGTTTTGACAATGTTGAGCTGATAGGTTCTTGGTTGCTATATTGTCTCATTATGTAGCAAACGAAGAGGCCACAATCCACTGCATACAAATTATAGGTATAGTTAGTTTTAAGAAATATTCAAATTAGATTATCTTATTTATAGAGTTTCTGTTTCTTACTTGGTGTTTATGGTGTTTTGCTGCTTTTACGTTTCGTCATTTTTAGACAATGAAAACATAAAAATGTCAACATTAAATCTCAGAGAAATTTACAGACAACAAGAGAAAATGGAACATGACAAACACACACAAAGGAGAAAAGTGATGTGGCCGGAGAAAATTCAAGAATGGAACAAACTAAACATATACCAGAGAAAATTACACATGGCAAGCCAGGAGAAATTACATATATGCCAGAGAAAATTAACAAGGCAAGCCAGAGAAAATATGCATTCCATAATATAAAAATCACAGAGAAATTTACAGACAAGCAAAGAAAATAGAACATAACAGACACACACAAAGGAGAAAAATGATGTGGCCATAGAAAATTCAAGTGTGGAACAAAATAAACATATCAGAGAAAATTACACATGGTAAGCCAGAAAATATTACATATATGCCAAAGAAAATTAAACAAGGCAAACTAGAGAAAATGTTCATTCCATAATATGAAAATGCCAGAGAAATTTATAGACAACTAGAGAAAATTGAACATAACAGACACACACAAATGAGAAAAGTGATGTGGCCATAGAAAATTCAAGAATGGAACAAAATAAATATACCAGAGAAAATTACACATGGTAAGCTAGAGAAAATTAAACACGTGTGTATTCCATAATATGAAAATGCCAGAGAAATTTACAAACAACTAGAGAAAATGGAACATGACAGAACCACACAAAAGAAAAAAGTGATGTGGCCATAGAAAATTTAAGAATGGAACAAAATAAACATACCAGAGAAAATTACACATGGCAAGCCAGAGAAAATTACATATATGACAGAGAAAATTAAACATGGCAAGTCAAAAAAAATATGAATTCCATAATATGAAAATGCCAGAGAAATTTACAGAAAATCAGAGAAAAATATGGAATAACCAGAAACAAATGGGGGAATAAACATGCCAGAGAAAATTCAAAGAAAACACATAGATCAAGCAAATACCAGAGAAATTCAAATGACAGAGAAATTTACAGACAAAATCACACAAACATCTTCAAGAATAAGTTCGAAACTTAGGGAAATAACATTTTTCAAATTCATGTAGGTTTTTATTATGAAATTGAAATCCTAATTAATGGAAGGCTAGTCAACTGTGTTTCGGAGAAAAACTAGTTGGATTGGAGAAAACTTACCTGAGTGATGATGAAAACCCTAATTTCGAACTGAAATGGCTTGAGATGAAGATGCAATGAGATGAAGATGAACTGAGATGACGATGAACAATGAAAACGGGTCAGAAAAATTTGTGAGGAATGAATTAAAAAGAGTTTGGCAGAAGATAATGAAACCGTAATGGCGACAGTGAAGATGATAGTGAAACCCTAATTCTCATGTTCTCTTACTCATGAAAATGGTTGGATGTTTGGAATGAATTGAGTTGTCGGAATGCAATCGAGTTGAGCATTCTATGTTGATCTGTGAAGGGTATTTTGATCCCAATAAAAATTTAAAACGCGTCTGTCGTTAGTGAAGGACCTGAGACATCATTCCTATTTTTTGTGTCCTTTATGCTGTAAATTACTCTTATTAGGGACCTTAAAAAAAATTTCCCATTTTATATATATATATATATATTTTTTATAATAAGCCAATAAGCTAAAAAAAAAGCCACTTCCCAAAATATGTATTGAAAAGATAATAAGTGAGAGTCAACTTCGTAAAAATAAACTTACCAAAATTTTAAAGGTAAGTAATTTTTAAGAAAGTGATATAAAAATATTTTCTTTAAAAAATGTTTTACTTACTTTTTGTTCAATCAAACAATAAAAAATAATAAAATATTTCATGTCAAAACAAACAAAGCCTAAATTAAATTCAAAAGTCACTCCAAAAAATGGGACTCTGCGTTACTTGGAGTTCGGGTTAACGTACAACAACCATTCATCAATAATTAAAAAAAAAAATCAAAACTAGTTACATAAAAAAGAAACACCACTGAATATGAATAAATTTGGTTTGGTGTGATATAATAGAGAAAGCAATTGGTAATTGCTTGAGGCAAGTATGAGTCATTAGACCATCTCCAACGCTTCACCAAATCTTGCATCAGTTTTGAAATTTGGTGAAAAAGTTACTTTTTATAGCTCTAATGATTTCATCAAATTGGTATCAAAACGAGAATTCACCCCATTTTTCATCAAAGTGAGAACAGGGGGAAGATTTCACCAATTTACTATGCGTGACCGTTGGGGAAAACCAACCGGTCAACCAGTAGGTTGACTGCCCGGTTGACCGACCAACTGGTCAACCGGTTCCCTTGAAAATAGGTTGGTTCAAACAAGTCAAAAGGTTCAAAGAGGGAAAAAAAAAATACACTAACCGGTCGACCCCTACTTTGATGACAACCATTGGAGCAGTCTGTATCAGATTGAGAAAATGATCTTTTTTTTACTCAAATTTGGTGATAAATTTGGTGAACCGTTAGAGATGCTCTTAGGTGCCTGCTCAAACGTCTAATTATTTGATAGAAAGAAGACATAATCACCAGCGACGGAGGAAGTGAGGGACCAGGGAGGTAACGTATTTCCTAAATTTTGGAATTTTTTTATTTTACAAATATCAAGAAAATATTTTAAATAAAAAAATTATAAAAATATTATTAGAGTGAAATGTAATGACATTTTAAAAATTATGACAACAATAATAGTTATTTTAATTGAAAATAAAGATACTATTATAAACCATATTATCTATGAAATTTTTTGAATGTAATGGTGATGTCATTATTAGTGACATGCAAGAATAAGTAATTTCACTATAAAGATATAAAATTTATTGAATTGTTAGTTACATTTGACATGTGATGTTCACTATCTATATGTTTATTTATTATTAATTAGTGGGTGATATTACATACCAATGATGATATGAAATTACCATTATATTGAATTTTTAATCAAATTTTGTATAATAAAATAATTCATCATTATATAATTTATTTTGAGACATATAACCATATTTTTTTGAATAAATTATCAATAGGTCTTAATAGTTGGACTTAATTCCCATTAAGTTCCAGTGAAAATAAGTCTTCGTAAAATTGTTGTTAAAAATAAATTTTTTGTTACAATTTTTTATATACGTCGCTAAAAATTCACAATTAGTGACTATTTTTTGTCATAATTTTTATAAATTGTGGCTAAAACTTACAATTAGTGATTTTTTTTATAATAAAATTTTCATATAGAACCTATTAGACAATAAGTCTACTTATTAGGAACTACATGTAAGTACTTCTATTTTTTTGTATTGTCCATATACACTAGTTACAAATAATATTTTTGTTTTTGATATTTCTCGAAATCAATCGTAAAAACCTGCGTAAAATATTTTTATAAAAATTTTCGATATTGTAATTAATAAGTGTTCCCTCTAATTTAATTTTCTGGCTCCGCCACTGATAATCACCATGTTTGGTTCTAAAAAATTGAGTGTTTTACTTTTCATATTTTTTTGTTTTTAGTAAATTTTAAAAATATTTTACGTAATTTTTTTATTTTTTAGGTACACTTAATCTAAATACGCTTAAAAAATACAATATTTATAAAATAAACTTTTAAAAATTCACCAAATACACACCCCAAAAAAAAAAATACATTTTCATATTTTATTATATTTAATGAATTTTTAAAAATATTTTTGTATAAAATTTTTACTTTTTAAATAAAAATAAAAATAATTGATTAAATTTTTTAAAAATATCATTAAAAATATAAAAATAAGATTTAAAAACTCAAAAAATTAAAAACAAACCGAGTGAATATTTCTTTTTCTCAAATGCATCTAGAAAATTAGATTTTTGATTTTCTTTTTTAAAATTTTGAACTTAATCAAACAAAAATTTGGGATGTGCTTAGTTTGCCTTTGGAATCATGATTTCAAAGGTAAAATTTTCATATTACTTTTCAAAATTTATAATCAAACACACAATTTAAAATCAAAAAATGCTTGGGACCCTTTTGGGAGACGCCCACAACCCCATTTGAACCTCAACCATTGATGTATGTATGTGTGGGATCCACTCATGTATATGTGAGACCCACACCATCGATGGTTGAGATTCAAAAGGGGTTAGGGGGTCCCAAAAAAAAGGGGTCTCAATCATTGTTGTTTAAAATTACTCAAAACTCAATTCAAAATTAATTTGAAAACTTATAACTAAACACATAACTTAAAATTCAATTTAAAAACTCAAAACCAAACTCTTTTTAAAACTATATTTTAAAAGAAACAATTCAAAAAAATATTTTTTTTATTTTTTTAATATTATTTTTATAATCATGATTTGAGTGTGAAAATTGTATTTTGAATTATGAGTTTTGTCAGTTTTAAAAAGTGTTTTGAGTTGTATTTTGAGTTTTGCATTATATTTTGAAATTTTTTAGATTTTATTTTTTTACATATTTAAAAAATTTCTTAATTTTATTTTTTTAGGGTAAATATTTTATATTTTAAATATTTATTTATTTTATGTGCACTATCTTTCATACATTTATGTGCTGTATTTTTTTTAATATTAAAAAATTATAAAAAATTATTTTTTTATTTTAAATATATAATTTTATTTTAGTTTATAAATATATTTTTAAATATTTTAATTTTTTTATGTGTTGATTATGATTTAAGTGTAGAATTTTGAAAGGAGTATGAAATTTTGAGTTATGTATTTGGTTATAAGTTTTGAAAATAATTTTTGAATTGAGTTTTGAGTTACGTATTTGGTTACGATTTGAATGTAAAATTGTGTTTTGAGTTTAAAATATTAAAATTAAAAATTAAAATATTTACGAAATAAAATAAAATGTTTAAAATAAAAAGATTTAAATAAAAATTATTTATTTAAAATAAAAAATAAAATTTTCTTAAATATTTTTTAATATTTACAAAAATAAATCCAAAAAATTCAAATACAACTCAAAACTCTTAACCAAATAAATTTACTCCGTTCGAAGTTTAAAATTGAAAAACTCTTTTCAAAATTCAATTCAAAATACTTTTCAAACTTTTTTCAAAACTCATAACTAAACAATTTTTTTTTTACTTTCAGAACTCAACTCATAATTTCATACTTAAATCATGACTCTAAAAAAAAAAATTACAATTCCAAAACTAAAGAAAATGGAATACTATAGCGTTTGGTAACGTTTATGTTTATAAAAATTTTGCAAATTGTTTTTGTTTATTTTTCGAAAAATATAAACTACAAACGCGTTTCGTTTGAATAAAATGTTTGAAAATTTTTAAAAACATAAATTAAAAAATATGTTTGTTCAGGTCTAAAATATTTATATTTATTTTTTATTATTTATGACAATGAGATCATACACATTATAATTGAAACAAAAAAGTTAATTGGAAAAAAATAATTGAAAAAAAAATTGTTAGTTAAATTTTTAAATTTCTGGTTAAAAACTAATGTAAACTTATTTTTTGAGTTTACTTTTTTTCCTCAAATTTATAAACTGAGGCAACCATTTATAAACAAAAAAAATTATCAAATAAATTTTTATGACAACTTTTTAAATTTTTATGAATATAAATTGAAAATTGAAAACGAAATAATTCAGCAATGTTTGGTAATGTTTACGTTTTTGGTTTATATGTACAAAAATTTTATAAACTAGTTTTTATTTATTTTTAGAAAAGCATAAACTACAAACGCGTTTGGTATGAACAAAATGTTTGAAAAATTTTAAAATATAAATTAAAAAATATGTTTGTTCAGGTATAAAATATTTATATTTATTTATTTTATTATTTATGACAATGTGATCATACATATTATAATTGAAAAAAAAAATTAATTGGGATAAAAAATTGATTAAAAAAAATTAATTGAAAAAAAAATTATTAGTTAAATTTTTAAATTTCTATTTAAAAACCAACGTACACTCATTTTTTTAATTTACGTTTTTTTCTTAAATTTATAAACTAAGACAACCATTTATAAATCAAAAAAATTATCAAAAATTTTTGGGCAAATTACAAACACGCCCTCGATGTTTGGTAAAAATATAGATTCCCCTGGAGTTTAAGAAATTACAAATTGCCCCCTGAGGGTCAAATTTTCATAACAAATTAGGAGAAATTAGGGGAGAATTTGTATGAAAATAAAAATCTCAGGGGACAATTTGTTATGAAGATATAAATCTCAGAGGGCGGGATGTAATTTCTCAAACTTCAGCAAGAAATCTGTATTTTTACGAAAGCTCGAGGGGTGTTTGTAATTTTTCCAAAATTTTTTTATAAGAATTTTTAAAACATTTATAAATATAAACTGAAAATTAAATGAAACTGGTTAGCAAGCCCTTATCAAACAAGCCTTACATTTTCTTAAAAATTTGAGTTCCAAAAGAAAGATGGTGTCGAAAATTTTTAAAGCAAAACCCTAATCACAACAACTCGAACCGGACGTTTTTTTTTATATCATCTCATCGGGTTACTGTTTTGCCTCCTCCCCCAAAACCCCCAAATTTCAAAACCCTCACTGCACACAGAACCCAGACAAAAAAATACAGCAACCTTGAGAGAGAAATCTGGTAACAAATCTAGAGAGAGAGAGAGAGAGAGAGAGAGAAGCACAATGTCTGGCTTCTCCTTCTCCACCGACCCATCTTCATCTTCCTCATCATCTTCAACCACTCTCTTCTCCACCTCCTCTCTCTCTTCTTCTTCATCTTTCCCTTTCTCAAATCCCACCTCTTCTTCTTCCTTCCCATTCTCATTCTCATCCTCCTCCACTCCTTCTTCCGTCTTCGCCTCTTCAATCCCTAACCCTAACCCTAGCCCTAGCCCTTTCTCCTCTTCCGCCTCCGCCTCCGCCTCCGCCCCTTCCTTAGGCTTCGGCTTGCCCAATTCCGCCGCCTCCACCCCCTCGATTTCCTTCGGTTTTGGCTCTTCCGCCTCCGCCGCTTCATCGCCATTTGGGACTCCTAGTTCGTTTGGGTCGTCTTCTGCTACAAACTTGTTCGGATCTACTACTTCGACCTCTGTCTCAACTAGTACACCGCCTTTTGGGTCGTCTTTGGGTTCAGGTTCTACTACGACGAATACTACTACGAACCTGTTTAGATCTTCTTCGAGTTCAGGTCCTACTACTACTGCTGCTGCTGCTGCTTCTTCTCCATTTTCTTCAAATTTGTTCGGATCTTCTTCGAGTTCATCTTCTACTACTACTACTACTGCTGCTGCTTCTCCATTTTCTTCAAGTTTGTTTGGATCTTCATCTTCGAGCTCTGTGTCTGCTTCAACACCTACTCCAACCTTTTCTTCTCCATTATTTGGGGCTTCTTCGTCGGCTTCTACTACAACTTCAACAGTGCCTTCTTTTTCTAATTTGTTTGGATCGTCTTCATCGAGCTCAATTTCAACTTCTTCACCATTTCCCTTAGCTTCAGCACCTGGGTTTTCTTTTCCTTCGGCTTTGAAAGGTACTGGAAGTTCTTCATCCCCTGGTACCTTTTCTTTAGTACCCATTGCAAGTTCCATTTCAGCAGGTTCATCAAATTTCTCGTTTGGAACTCTGGCCTCTTCTGGTTCGCAATCGCAATCTTCTTTCGGGCTCGGGAATGTGATATCCTCTGCAGCCACAGCCACAACCGCAAGCACGCCCGCTGTGAAGCCTACTTCATTAGGCTTTGGAACTGCGTCTTCTTCATTGTTTTCGACTGTTACGACCACTACCAGTGCTTCGTCTCCAGCGGCATTGACAGCCTCATCTTCTGCTGTTTTTTCTTCTTCTTCTACTACTACTACTACTGCTTCGACTGTTTTGTCACCGGCATTTCCTCCTTCTGGTGTGAGTTCTTTGTTCTCAACTGCAGCTTCTACACTGACTACTAAAGCTGCTTCATCCGCAGCCCCTACTCTTTCATTTCCAAGTTTTGGAACCACTAGCACAGCTGCTTCTTCAGGCACTACAAGTTCACTTCCAAGTTTTTCACTTTCTACCAAAGCATCAGCCCCAGCTACTGCCTCTGCCTCATCAACACAATCCCAATCGACACCTGCTGCGCCTCTTTTTGGTGAGTTTGTCCATTTTCTCACAAAATATATTCAGTTCTGATCTTTCATGTAGCATAAGATGGCTAGCAGTGACTAAGTCATGCTGATTGGGATTTATATTCAGAGTCTTGTTGTACAAAAGGGGAATTTAGTATGGCATCTTTGACTGTAGTACTTGGTCTTGAGCAACTAGTTGAAAGCTGTGACAATTCACATAGTGGATTATTGTCTGTCAAGTCAAGGGAATCAGTGAACTCATGTTACATAAGTTGAAGTTGTCAATTTGTCAAACAGAAAAGAATCCTTTGCAATTAGTCATTTAGATAAGGTTCAAGTTTCGTTCTTTATGCATTTCATGACCCCTTTTCTGATAACTGGAAGTTGTTCTGGGTGCCCTTCTATGTTTCTCGAAGTAGGCTTAGGTTTTGGAGAGGGAGAGATTATGGGTGAGGATGAGCAAGGAAAGGGTGGTTTGGCAAAACTGCAAACAGTTCCAACGGTTGAGCAGGAGACCATGGTTTCCAGGGGTAAGGACCGATCAAGATGAGAGTACGAAAGTTATGAAATTGGAAGTTTCTAGCATGCAGGAGAGTTTGGTGTTGACAGTGGCTTCTCTGCTATTAGCTTTATTCCTATGGATGTGGTAACCAATCAGCAGTGCTACCCGTGGAGGCTACTATAGTCATGACAAAAGTCCCAAAAGAAGAGTTACATGCTGCTGGCAATGCAAATGTGTCATCTGTTAGGAATTTGACTCTTCCTAATCAGGATCGGTGAGACATGAAATAACAAACAAGAAAGATAAAATGAATCAAACGAATCACACACACAAGGACAGAAGGATTTACTTGGTTCACCTCAGAATATGTCCACGACTGTTACGGTTTTCACTATGATCAGAAAATAATACAACTCCTTTAACTTAAAAGAGGTGCCCCCTTCATCTATTTATAAGTATAGAATTAGGGCAATGCAGAAACAATATGAAAATTACCAAAGTACCCAAAAAATTCGGGCCAGGGCAAACCCCCTGGACCCCCCTCCGCTTGGGCTGAGGCCCCCTTAACGCGTCCAAGAAATTTATGTTTTCTACTTTGGGTCTTGAAGAGAGAAGGGAACCATTGGTAAGGTGGGCCTAAGAAGTATGGACACTTGTCAAAAGTTGTGGACACAACACCTTAGGGAAACTCTAAGACATATGTCTGATGATCTATGAACATGTCTACAATAAAAAAACAAATTGTGTAATGTTGATTTTTGCCAATGCATCACAAATAATTCCCAGTACAGCCCAAAGTGCCCCGTGCCCAACATCTATCTAATTAAATAAAATGTAATATTATACGAATGGCAACCATTATCTAGCATGCAAAGTACACTTTGAACTTTTAGAGTTAGTTAACACAAAGTAGTAACCTACATAATGTAATAATAAGAAGAATTTGTCAGCCTTGATGTTCTACGTCTTGAATTTTTCTTATTGACTTGTCCGTGTTGTGTCTGTGTCTTATGTTATATGTTTGTGATACTTAGGTGATGGTGAATATGGCTGTTGATAATGTAAATTTGAGGTACAAGCCGCTTAAAACAACTTGGGAATGGACATTTTGTACCAAGTGAGAAGTGCCGATGTTAACAATGGGCACTTGGTTTGAGTGGAATGCCTTCATTTGGTTTTAACACCCGCTGCTTGAGGACCTCATTTTATGATCTGGAAATTGAAACACGGTTTAGGGAGTTAGCCTTTGCAACTTTTGCTCTGACCTTGAACTTTTCCGAATCTTTTTTTTTTTTTTTTTTACACCCTTAGGTCTCAATTTTCTTGATGGCCATCTCAACTTGTTCTGAGGAGACATTCTACTGACAATACTATCTTGAGCCATGGACTAAGAAAGGCAACCTAATGGTTTTCTTGCTTGAGGTTCCAAGTCAATCATTTTTGGTTTTTTGAATTTATGGTTCCAAATTGTAGCTAGTTACTTGTATGTTGTAGTTGTGGTGTTGATGGAAGTAGATATCCTGAGGCAGTTTAACTTTTTATAGGATGCAATTCCTACTAAGAGCTCTCATATTTAATATAACCTTAGAATCTTGAAATTATGTTTTATATTTAATTTTAATTTTAATGTAAGCTATATACATAATTTAGAATTAGGAAGCCTTTCATTTGTTCGCAGACACCAATAGTGTGAATACTAAAGTTTTACTTTTAGGCTATGTTTTAAGTTTTCCTTTCCCTTTCCAAGTACCTATCAAAATCTATGATCCAAACACAACTTTAATGCTAATGTTTATTTGAACTTCATATTAAGCTACCTCTCTACAGTCTATACTAATTGTGTGATTACTTAGGTGCTGTTTGGCAATGTTTGCAGTTTATTGTTTTTAGTTTACAGAACACACTAAATATGTTTTTGTTTAGTTTGGTAGCCTGTAGTGATAAGCAATGGGTGGTGGTCGGAAAGGGTGGGAGAAAGAGGAAGAAATGATCTTTTTTTGTAAACAAGTGAAACTAACTTTTTTATATTTACAAAGTTTACACTATTTACAATTTGTTAAAAACAAAAACAGAAACCAAACGAATTTTTGTTTACAGTTTTCAAAAATTCTGTAAATATAAACAAAAAAATTGTAAATATAAACATTAGCAAACAAGCCCTTAAAGTTTTGCTTTTAAAATTGTATTTATTTATTTATTTATATTTATTTATTTATTTCTGATGGAATTGTTTAGTGGGGAAATGTACAAATGCTTCCAAATTACTAGAAAAAGCTATTAGGGTCCACATATTTTTTCTCTGTTGTTTACGATGTGACCATTTGAAGACACATTTTCCAAGCTACCATAAAATATCTTAGTACATTTTACTGAAAAATATGAGGCCTGACAATGTCACATAAACACATTATTGAAAGTTGTATGGACGGCCTTACATCTTGTTCTTTATTGCATGTAAATTCTGCACAACATTTAACTTATCAAAAGGGGAGAAAATAAATTAAAATTCTGCACAATGTTCTTATAACCAATGTATTCCTAGGATGAATAAATGCCTTCATTATAATTTTACGTGTAATCTAATCACTACAACTAAATTTAAAAAGAAAAAAGAAAAAAGGCATTCATCACAACATTTAGTTCGAGAAGCCAATCTTGTAAAAGGGGGAAAAGAAAAGAAAATATTAAGTCGCCTTGAAACAACTAATTGTAACATAAATGAAGTTAGCTTTACACATGATTTGGTTTTTATGCTGTTCAAGTTCCTGGAAAGAAGGCAATCTAAGAAGCACGGATACACGACACGACACGGATACGGACACGGATACGGACACGTGGACATGTAAAATTTCAAAAAATACAGGACACGACACGTTGGGGACACGTGGAAAAAATATAATTTTAAATATTTATTATATGTTATAATTTTAAATATTTAATATATATTTTATGTCAAATATTTAAGTTTATCAAATTTATCAATTTTAGGTATGTTATTTTAGTAAAAAAATTTAAAAAATTGTTTTTTTTTTGAAAAAATAGCTCTCACTGTGTCCTTTCGTGTCCGCAACATGTCTGTAGCGTGTCCTAAGTGTCTCAACGTGTCCGACTCTTTCCAGTGTGTCCGACACTTGTCCGACATGCGTCCCGTTCATGTCCATGTCCGACATGTGTCAGAAACTCATATGTGACCTCCGGAGAGGTGTCCGTGCTTCATAGGCAATGGGTGCAGGATATCTTGTGTTTGTCATTTGGACTTGAAAACACTTAGTGTTCTGCGTCCAATATATTTAGTTTAGAAGTTTCTTTAATTCCCCTCCCCTCTCCCGTCAGATTTCTTCTTTTATATAGCATAAGGAGATTGGTAAGATCATCCTTTAGATTCGTCTTGAATCAAGCTATATATGGCCTTATCAATTGTTTTAGTGTAACATCTTAGTGTGCATTTGTTTCCACATGATTTTTCCAAATGGTCTAGATTAGTATGTTCTCAGTTTGTCTCTTCCACTGACCACTTGCTTCATTCCTGAAATGCCTAGGTACCAGGTTGACTAACTGGTAGTTCTTTGTGACTGAGCTTCTTATGTTTGTTGATAACACAAATGCTAAGATGCCTGTGCTTCCTGTAGGTGTACCTACTTCTACTTCCGCTTCTGTTGTTGCAACATCATCCAATGCCAGTGCTACTGTTGCTCAGACATCAATGTCCCTGACTGTAGCTTCCAGTAGTGGGTCTGTATACATTGTCTTTGTATCCTGACTCTAATTTTCACTTTGCCAGTTTTCAAACTGCCTTCAATTTTTCAAAAAAAAAAAACCTCTGCAAATCTTCTGAATATTATTTTTAAAAAAGCTTGACGACATTATGAAGTCACCCCTCTTCATGCTCTTTTCGTTTAAGTTTTTCAAAAAACCCTTTTACTATATGTGTGGATTGCTTGGAAATTTGATTGGTGACATTTTAAGATTTCCGGGGTCTGACTTATTCTCGTGTTCTGGTCATCTGGTAGGACTGCTACAACTGTCAGTGCTGTTACCCCAGCTCCAAAGTTGCCATCTGAGATCACTGGGAAAACTGTTGAGGAGGTATTTAGATGGTTAATCTTCTTTTCATTAATTGATTTTTTTTTAAATACATATATATATATATATATAATTTTCTTCCTAGATTTCTTAGACTGGTGATGAATGGTATTTTCCAGAGCTTGTTATTATGACCGCAAAAAGTTTCTTTTTCGTTGTACTATTAATATATTTATCTTTAATTGCCTTATTGTGTGAGTTATCTATTGCTGATTACTTCTTTTAAGATGTCTGTTAAGTTTATCCTTTTATTTGACCTCTTTTCCATTTTTAGTTTTTCTCCATTGTATTTTAGTTTCTTACATGTATGTCTTTTTTTAAGATTATCAAGGAGTGGAACTCTGAGCTGCAAGAACGTACTGGAAAGTTTCGAAAGCAGGCCAATGCAATAGCTGAGTGGGACAGGAGAATCTTGCAGAATCGTGATATTCTTCTTAGACTTGAGGTGATCAATTTCTAATGTATTTGATATCGTCAAGTCTTTTTTTTTGGGGGGGGTGGGGGGGGGGGGGGTTTGTGTTTTATGCTTATTTGACCTTTTTATTTATCTTAGGCACCATGCCCATGGCTTGCCCCAATGCTAGGGGCCTTGAAGGCAGCTGATTAGGTTTGGAGTTGAGACCCATCCCTCTCTTCCCCTCCCAGTCCTCGAACCAAAAAAATTGAAAAATTGTTGTCACCTTCATGGAGTTGACAATTTCAATGACATGACCTTACGACTTTCCAAAGATTGTTGCTTCCATTATTAAAGCTTGAATTCTTATGCTCCTAAAAATTTATTGGATGGAGGATGTTTTACATTTTTCTGTCGACGCAATGACTTCTAAAGGTTTGAAAAGTTGAAGGTTGATTACTATGAAAGAGAATACAAGAATATAGAAAGCCTAGGTATTTCCTACTCCTAGGTTAGTTAATGATACCAAAGAAGAAGTGTGTTACAAGTTACAACTAGTAAATTGACTTCAAACCTGCTGACCTGTAAATCTGACCATAATTGTTGGAGTCCATATTCAAAAGCCAACCATGGCAACTGTTACAACACTTTTTTCGGAGTATAAATTTTAGTCTTGTGATGGTACTAAATTCCAACACCTAGTCTCAACCAATTTCCAACACACATTCTCACAATGAGCTAGAACAAGTAAGGGAGAAGGTAACATGAATTAACAGGAAAAACCCAACATTTATTATTGCACCAACAATACAAAGGAATGCCTATGGAAACTCTCACAATTACTTGACTTCCTTTCTAGTTCCATGGCCATGCCTTATATAGGCTTACAATCAGTTACAAAATACAAGAAACAATACAAGGAAAGCATGCCAAGTGGCATGGCAATTGACACCCCCAAGTGCCTAGGGTTTTGGGAATAATTCTAGAGCTAATTGCTAGTAACTGCTCCTGATTTCCAGCCTTGCCTTGTTTTTGCCCCAACAAGGTAAATGCTCTAAACAGACATGCATAACTGCTAATAACTGCCTTGTAGTCTGCCCCATCCAGCCACGAAATTACTTTCTGGCCACCAGGCTAAATCTTGCCCATTGATTGTGTTCAACCCCCAAGTATGCTGCAACCCACGTTCAGGTCATATTAATGCCTTGCATCTGTGTAATGCCACCCATACTTTGGCTAAGGGTTGAGTACTGCTGCCAAACAACACTTGTCATATTCCCCCCTTGCTGTCTTGGCATGCCACCATCATGTCGCGGCCTTGGTTGGTCATAGGAGCAAGGTGTCTCCAATGCCAACCATACAGCCTTCAAGTAGAAGGTGCTAACAAACCACCTCCACCAGAAGAAGCCAACGTTCTCGTTGGTAGGGTCTTCAATTACTCAGCCACTTGTTTCTTAAATTGCCACAACGTGACATCTTTCTTCCAACTAGCATCAGCTTCGGGCAAACCTTTCTATTTCACTAAGTAATGGGTTTGCCTTTTTTTTTTGCTCATGCCCTCTATTTTGTGATCAAGAATACTTTCGACCTCCTTGTCAAACTGTTTTTGGATCACTGGTGGAGCTCTCTCCGCTTGCTTCCTCTCAGCATTCGCCATATCTTCATGATAAGGCTTTAGGAAGCTCACATGAAATGTTAGGTGAATTTTCAGCCTGTTGGGTAATATTAGTCTGTAAGCCACAGCTGCAAACTTTTTCATAACTTCAAAAGGACTGTCGTACTAAGGACTGTCGTACTTAGGAATGAGCCCACAATGAACAGTCTTGCTACTAATCTTCTTCTAAATTTGGGGAGTAAGTTTCAGCAGTATTTTATCCCCAACTTGGAATTCAAGTGGTCTTCTTAAGTTTCAGCAGTATTTTATCCCCAACTTGGAATTCAAGTGGTCTTCTTCCCTTATCAGCATACTTCTTCATGTAATGGGTGGCTTTTGGACAAACTATCTTGTGCCTCTTCTAGCAACTCTTGCTTGGAACGTGCAAACCGATATGCTGCGGGACAACATCCTGTTTTTGTTTTGGTCGCCTCATGAGGAGTGAGGGCTTGATATCTAATGGCCAACTCAAACAGACTAAGGCCAGTTGCTGCTTGCTGCGGACCGGTGCATGTTGTGGCAGAATTGTGCACTATCCAACAAGTCCACCCAATTCTTTTGACTTTCTGTGACATAGTGCCTTAAATATTCCTCCAGCAAAGCATTCATGCGTTCTGTTTGCCCATCTGTCTGCGGGTGATTTGCTGTGAAAAATTTCAATTTTGACCCCATCAACCCAAACAACACTGTCCAAAATCGTTTGGTGAACCGAGTGTCTCAATCACTTACAATGTCCTCTGGCAGCCCAAAGTTCTTCACCATGTTTTTTAAAAATAGCTCTGCAGCCACGTCTATTGGGCATGCATGTGGTGCTGCAATAAAAACCATATACTTGGAGAAACGATCAACAATAACAAAAATAAAACGCTTACCTTTCACCTTAGGCAATCTCGATATGAAATCCATGGAAACAGAAACCCATGGCCTCGTTGGAATAGGAAGAGGCTGCAATAAACTAGCTTCTCTCTTGTGTTCTGTTTTGTTTAGTTGGCAAGCTAAACATGCTTTGACATACATTTCAATATCATCCTCCATCTTCGGCCAATAATAAGAACGAGATAAAATAGCCAACATCCGCTTCACACTAGGGTGACCAGTCCATTGAAATAATTCCTGTCTAAGTCCCCCATTGCTAGGGGCAAACAACCTATCTCCTTTGGCATGGAGAAGGTCATCTTCCAACCAATATCTGCAGACAATCCCTTCCTTGACTTGCTGTACCAACTTTTGATAAGTGGATCTCCATCAACATTCTCTCTAACTCTGTCCAGCAGATCTGACTCAATGGTAGAAATGACAGCTACATATTTCTCAACCACCTTCCTACTCAATGCATCCACAACCTAGTTGTGCCAACCAGGCTTATGCTTCTCACTTGAAGTCATACTCCTTCAAGAGCTCTTGCCATCGAGCTTGTCTAGGAGACAACTTTTTCTGCGTTTTGAAGAAAGTATTCGCCACATTGTCTGTTAGGACTTGGAATTTAGTCCCTAACAGATAAACCCTCCAGGTGAGAAGACGATGTACCATTGTTATCATTTTTTTCTCGTGGGCTGAATAGTTTTTCTCCGCAACATTTAACTTGTGACTTTCAAAGGCAACCGGGTGCCCCTTTTGCACCAAAACGCCACCAATAGCTTTGTCTAACGCATCAGTATGCACTTTAAAAGGAAGTTCAAAATCCGGTAACCGCACGCTGACTTAGTTGATACCGCAACTTTTAATTTTTCAAAGGCTACTTGACACCTCTCACTCCAGCTCCATTTTTTATCCTTAAGCAAATCAGTGAGTGGTGCGGTCTTTTTGGAGTATCTCTCAATAAATTTTTTGTAATAGTTGACAAGACCCAAAAAGGAATGCAACTCAGGAACATTGTTGGGATTAGGCCAGCCTTGAATGGCATGGATTTTCTTGCTATCCATCTTCACATGGCCTTTACAGATGATATGCCCCAAGAATTTGGTTTCCCACTTGGCAAATTCACATTTCTCTTTCTTTACATACAATTGGTGTTCCTTCAACCTAGAAAACACCATACGACAGTGGGACAAGTGATCTTCCAAAGATTCACTATAAATTACAAGATCATGGAGATAGACAACAACAAAACGATCAACATAATCAGAAAAAACATCATTCATTAAGTTACAAAATGTAACAGGCGCATTCGTGAGTCCGAATGGCATTACAAGAAATTCATAAGACCCATATCTAGTAACACATGTGGTCTTGGACTCATCCCCTTCAGCTATTCTGACTTGCCAATACCTGGAGTACAGATCCAACTTGGTGAAGTAAGTGGCCTTGCATTGACGGTTAAAAAGATCGGCCACCAAAGGGATAGGGTATTTGTTCTTGATTATCACTTTGTTTAAGGCACGGTAGTTAACACACATCCGCATGGACCCATCTTGCTTCTTTTGGAACAAAACTAGGGCACCATGAGGGGCTTTGAATGACTGAACTAGTCTAGCGTCCAGCAATTCCGTCAGTTGCTTCCGTAATTCTGCTATCTTTATTGGAGCCATTCTGTAAGGTGCTTTTGTCGGAGGCTTTGCACCAGGGACCAACTCAATTTTGTGATCTGTGGCATATCGAGGCGGTAGAGACTTGGGCAATTCTGGAGGGCATCACATCCTCAAATTCTTTTAAGACTGCTGCAACTTCATCAGGCAATTCCATTATCACATCAGGCTTGATTTCCACTGAGGCTGCAAGATAAGTCTCAGCCCCTTTCTTTAAGCCATTGTGCACTTGAATTGCTGACAACGTCTCTGTTTTCCTCTTCATGCCCTTGCCTTTGTCTGGCTTGCCACAACCAAGAACAAAGCATGGTCTGTTTTTATCTGAGATAAGTAACCCACCCAAATAAGGCATCAGTGCCATTTTGGCAGTCACAAAGAAATCATTTCCGAGGATGACATCAAAATCATCCAATGGCACAACCATCAAGTTTATTTGTCCAACCCATTTCCCCATTTTAATCTGCACTTTGGAAGCTATTCCATGTACCGGTTGTGCAGCAGAATTTACGAACTTGATTCGGCTTGAACTTTCGGAAACTTGTAAACTTGATTCGGCTCCAGTGTCCATCATAGCCAGAACATCCCCACCACCCAGTACTACTTGAATGTACATTAGACCGGTCAAAGGGGACTTATTCGCATGAATTGCATTTAACAATTACAAGGGATTTACTCAAGTTGGGCTATCACCATCTGTGTCCCTCCCATCGTCTTCTGCCACAATAACATTCAACTTCTTCTGCTTAGGGCAATCTTTCGCCCTATGGGGTCCATCACGTATGAAGCATCCTTTGTTCGACTTTCCACCATCATTTTGTGAATGTGAAGAAGATCTCCCTTCTATTTATACTTGGACTTGTCTTTCCCTTTCTTGAAACTGGCCTTCTTTTCCCCATTTTTCTCCTTTCCTTTCTTCTTGGATTTGCTGGTCTCTAACACAGAATCCTTGTTGAACTTGTAGTTAAGCAACCCATCAGCGGTAGCCATAGTCGTGGCTAAGTTCTTGACCCCCACTCAATGCAATTTCAACTGTGCCCAACTTTGTAAGCCCGACATGAAATTAAAGAGTTTGTTCTCTTCCGACATGTTCTTGATGTCAAGCATCAACGAACTGAACTCCTTCACATAATCCCGCATAGAACCGGTGTGTTTCAGTCGCTTCAACGCTTCTTCTGCAACCCAAGACAAGTTGTGAGGAAGGAATTGCTCTTTGAATTCCTTCTTCAAGAATTCCCATGATTCGTTCATTGGATGAGCATCGTCCACTGTTCGAGTCCACCCAGTGTTATCAGAGGTGTGCTTAAGCGCTAAGCGAGGCGAGTAGCGCTTCATACACACCGAGGCGAGGCGAAATGGTGAGGCGAAGGAGAAGCGCATAAAGCGAGAGGCGATATGAAGTGACGCTTCACCAGATTTTGCCTGATTTCAGTTCGAATGATCTGGGCCCTTCATTTGGATGACTTTTGTGCAATTTGTGGACATGCGTTGCACCTTATAATTGCTTTCTACTAAATAAGAAGTCGAAACCCTAAGTTGACTTCGTTCCAGTCGACATTGAAAGGTATACCCTAAGTCGACTTCACCTAGGTCTTCTTCTTCCTTCTTCGGACATCGTTCCAGTCGATTATCAGAGGTGAGTTCCTGCTCTTCTTCTTCCTTTCTTCTTCTTCTTCTTCCTTTCTCCTTTCTTCCCTTCGTCCTCTCCTGCTGCTGCTGATTCTCTGTCTTCTTTTTTTCTTCCTTTCTTCATTTTCTTTTCTTCCTTTTTTCATTTTTTTTCGTCTTCAAGAACACTGTCGGACCCCCCCTTTTTTTTTCCTGGTTATTTTAATTTGTTTAATTATTTTTCTGTGTTATTTTTTTTCCATCGGAAATTTTTTTCAATTGATTTGTTTAATTATTTTTTCATGTTGTTTTACAATTATTTTGCTGTGTTAATTGTATAATTATTTTGTTGAAAAAATTTCAATCAATTTTGTTGAAAAATTTCAATTATTTTGCTGAAAAAATTTCAATTAATTTTGCTGAAAATTTTTAATTATTTTGCTGAAATTTTATTTATTTTGCTGAAAAAATTTCTTTATGTTAAATTTCAAATTTCTTTATTTTAATTATTAATGCATACCCTACCCAGAAAGAAGAATTGACTGGAAAAAAAAAATGCATAATGGTTTTTGAAAATATTTATATTTTTGTTGGATATGGATATTTAGTATTTGAAATGATAAATGCATGATGGTTTTTGAAAATATTTATATTTTTGTCTATACTATTTATTTTAAAAAATTATCGTTTGTGGTCGTCTCAATTCGATGAAGCCCTCGCCTCGTCGCCTCGCGCTTAGGCGTTAGGAGACCTTGTCGTCTCGGTTCACTTTTCGCCTTAAAAAACACTGAGTCCACCACCATAATTTGGCATCACTTGAAAGGTACATGCTAGTGATTGTAACTTTTTTCGCATCAAGAACATGAGCAGCCTTGAAGTACTGTTCTATGTCCCATAAGAAATTTTCAAGTTTCTTGGCATTACGAACACAACCAAATGCCTTAGGGTCATGAATTTTGATCTTGGAATGAGTGGACTCGCCACTGTTTGAATGCCCACAGACAACCTTCTTGAGGATAGACAATTCGTCTTCCATGTTCTGTAACTTGTCTTTCCAGGCATCTAAGATGGTAAGCATATCAGCCATTACTTCCTTGAATTGATTTGTCGTCGAGGTCTCAAGGGCAAGACCCAGAAGCCACGACATCCAATTGATCCGTTAGCAAGTGATTCTCATCAGTGGTTCACCCACAAGATTCTCCAATCACGTGTTACCCTGTCTTTTAAGGCATCCATACCAGACACCATTAGAGCAAAACCTGGCTCTGATACCAATTATCACAACACCATTTTCGGAGTATAAATTTTAGTGTTGTGATGGCACTAAGTTCCAACACCTAGTCTTCAGTCAATTTCCAACACACACACACACAATGAGTTAGAACAAGGGAGAAGGCAACACGAATTTCTAGGAAATTCTCGACCTTTATGATTGCACCAACAACACAAAGGAATGCCCAATGAAGCACGGACATGGACAAGCGACACGACACGGACACGACACGGACCCGTAAAAAACGCAAATTTTCAAAAAATAGGGGACACGACACGCTAGGGACACGTTCAATATATCTATTTTTTTTATATATTATATGTAAAATTTAAAAATATATACTATTTTTATATGTAAAATTAGGCATCGATTATATATTATATGTAATAATAGTAATAATATATACTATTCAAGTCTTTTTTATATATTATATGTAAAATTAAAATTTCATTTATTATATGTAAAATTTAAAAATATATACTAATTTTATTTTGTGAATTTTAAGTTTAACAAAAATAAAGATAAAAAAATAAAAAAGAAAAAAAAGAGTGAAGGAAATAAAAAAAAATAAAAGAGGAGAGAGAGAGAGAAACGGATGAAATAAAAAACAGAAGGGAAAGTGAAAGGGGGAAGTGAAATCAGAGAGGGAGAACAGTCGAAGTCGAAGTCGAAGAAGAGGAAGGAGAAGAAGATGGAGATGAAGAGGACGAGGCGAAGAAGAAGAAGAGAGCAGACAAATACCTCAGCTTCTTCGTTGATCTGAACAGGTTAGGCTCCTCTCTTCTCCTCCCTTTATCTCTTTCTCTGTCTCTTTCTCTGTCTCTGTCTGTCTCCTCTCATCTTCTCCCTCGATCTCTGTCTTCTCTCCTCCCTTGATCTCTTTCTCTGTCTCCTCTTGTCCCTCGATCTCTTTCTCTCTCTCTCTCTCTTTCAGTTAGGGTTCTCTCTTTCAGTTAGGGCTTCGATCCACCTCAGGCGTGTCCGGAAAGTGTCACAGCGTGTCCATGGCGTCTCCGACTGCAAAAATTCAAAAAAAAAAAGAGGACACGTTAGAGAGAGTGTCGGACACGTGTCCACCGCGTGTCCGACGCGTGTCCGTGTCCGACACGTGTCCGACACTCGTACGCCGGCCCTGAGGACGTGTCGGTGCTTCATAGGGAATGCCTATGAAAACTTTCACAATTACTTGACTTCCTTTCGAGTTCCATGGTCATGCCTTATATAGGCTTAGAAACAATTATAAAATACAAGCAGCAATATAGGGAAAGCATGCCAAGTGGCATGACAGTTGACTCCCTCAACTGCCTAGGGACTTAGGAATAATTCTGGAGCTAATTGTCAGTAATTCTCGAACTAAGGTAACTGCTCTCAACATACATGCATAATTGCTAATAACTGTCTTGTAGTCTGCCTCATCAAGCCAATCACGAAATTACTTGTCTTGGCCACCAGACCCCAAGTATGCTGCAACCCACGTTCAGGCCATATTAATGCCTTGCATCTGTGTAATGCCACCCATACTTCAGCCAAGGTTTGAGTGCTGCTGCCAAACAACACTTGTCATATTCTCACCTTGCTGTCTTGGCATGCCACCATCATGCCGCCTTGGTTGGACATAGGCGTAAGGTGTCGCCAATGCCAACCACGCAGCCTTCAAGTAGAAGGTGCTAACAGAAACCCACTTTAGAGCCAAAATTGCGAGCTACTACAAAAAAATCTTCGTAAGTAATGAATTAGAATCTTGCCAAATAAGTGTATTAGCTCTTGAATCTCATTTTTCTCTTCTTGTGTATTTTCTTTTGAAATATAATTGGCATCTTGTTTGCATCTGTATGTCTCTGTTAAGGGGGAAAGTATTATTTATGGACTGGAGAGATGATTTATGGTTTAGATCTGAATCTAATTTACTCTTGACATTCTAATATTATGTTTGATGGCGTACCAATTTTTTCCTGAGAATTATGTTTATTAGTTATAACATGAGTTGGATGGTTTCATATAGTATCATTGCAAGCTACATGCTTTGGTTGGCTAACTTGCTGTACTGTGAATGCCTAAACTGTTAATCAGAGTGAAGTGGCCAAAGTGGTAGAGACTCAAGCGAACGTGGAGCGACAACTAGAGCTTATTGAGACGCATCAGCTGGAGGTATCTTGATACGTCCTTTGTTTAATTTTTAAATGGTGCATTTGTCAGAATAATCTCAGTTTACACTTCTATGAAAATGCATACTTTCAACCGAATTCCTCTCTTGCTATGCCGACTGACGTTAGGTTTAGTCACTCTTCACCTATGTAGGTGTGATTGTGTTGTTATTTGGGCTTTTGTAGCCAGGAATAGAGCATGTAGATCAGTGCTTCTTTAATTTCATCACCTATTGGAGAAGCACCTACATGATCCTACATATGTGAACTTCTGAATCTAAAAATTGTCATTATGTGTAGAAATCCATTTTAAAATGTTGACATTCATATCCTATGGCATCCTATGGTTGCATTTGGAGGTGGAATAGGATTAGGCCGGACTGGATTAATGCTGATGGGTCTGTACTCTTGGGGAACTAATACTAATCTAATGTTTGGATGAGCAACAGATTAGATTGAACTAATGGTTCACCATATTTGACCAATTTAGCATATATATATATTTTTTAATCTCAAGGGGTAAAATTAATTTCTTAAAATACTTTTCAGTATTTTGGAAGAGAGAATGAGAAAATTCTGGTGTTGGGAGCAAAATAGAATTTCATGTGTTTTATTTATTTATTTATTCTAATTTTCAGTTATCCCATGGATAGGACTAGCAATAATGCCAATTCCTCAGCCAAATGATGTTATGTTACGTGTGTGGTACAACAATTTTTATCTTGATTGTTTGTGTGTAAGTTAAACCAATATAAATTTGAGATTAGAATGGACCAGATTTATTCTGCTCCTTTTATTGGGCATGCAAACACAGTGAATAATAATTTCTTTCAATTGACCGACAACAATGGATCTCATCTCATGATTCAGTAGCAAATTGGAACTATAGCATCTGTTATCTTAGTAAGTTACGTAATTTAATTGGAGCTGGATTTCTACTTAATTGTCCGAATTATTGATAGCTGTATTGTGTTGGTTGTTCTATTACCCAAGGCATTTTTTCTGATAAATATTTTCTTATAAAACATTATATTTTAATGTTTTATTCTCCAAAGAATTATGTGCTTAAATCATGCTTTTAATGAATAAATCATATGATTTGTAAGCACCTGCATGATTTTTTTTTTTATCAATAAAATGCATTTCATTTATCTTCGGTTTGTTGTTAGGTTGACAAGGCTTTGCAAAGTATAGAAGAAGAAGCTGAGCGTATATACAAGGATGAGCATAATGTGCTACTTGACGATGAAGCAGCATCCACCCGAGATGCAATGTGCGTATTTGTTAATTAGTCCTGTTGCTTTACAGTTGCATTAATTCTTCTTTGCCTTTTCTATTATTTTGTTTATGTTGTCAGCCATTTAAGAAAATAAAATGCACCTAACCAGTGCTTGAAATACTCAGGCTAGTTTTCAGTTGATCTGGTTTGAGAGTATATCCCAGAAATTTGACTTGTTTATATTCAGACCCAGATTCAATTAGATGTATTTGTTCATAGTTCAGGGGGATGGTTATGATGGCTTCTTTTCTTGGTGTGGTTTCAGGTACGAGCAAGCTGAAGTCATAGAGAGGGAACAGGAACAGATGGCTGAACAGATCAAAACAATTATTCAGATCCTCAATGCTAATCAGGTTGACTTTAGTTCAATGATCTTGTACCTCTCTTTGTGTTTCAAAGGATCATACTTACCCTTTGTTGCCTTTAGGGCGGAGAACTCGATACAATTGATGGAATGACTCCTTTGGATGTTGTTGTCCGGATATTAAACAATCAACTAAGTTCCCTGATGTGGATTGATGAAAAGGTTAGCATCTTCTGTAGTATTTTTTCATTGTACCCTCTTTTTTTGGTAGTCATGGCGCTAGTATGTGAAATTGAACATAATTGATAATAGAATATTGGGTTAATTTCACTTTCATCCCCTAAACGATTGTCAATTTTTCTATTTAATCCACAAACTAATTAATTTCATCTATTTATTTAGTGCCTAAGTTTCTAATTTTAACTAATATGGTCCAACTGGAGACAATTGTCCAAATCACTAATTGTTTAAACCTAATTTGATTAGCAAAAAGATCTTTTTGAAATTTGAACAATTTAAATCATACAACTCAACACTCGTTATTTTTATTCACTACTTTGAAATGAGGGTGGAGAAGAAGATGGTTATTTAGTCATAGGGTGTAAGTTGTATAAAATAATGAAAGTAAGAACATGGGTATTCGGTTGTATGATTTAAGTTGTCCAAATTGTCAAATTACCTTTTTGCTTATTAGGTTAGGTGTTCACTATTATTGATTTGAACGGACGACCTCCAATTGTGCCATATGAATTGAAATCAGAAATTCTAGAGATTAAATAGATGAAATTAGTAGTTTAAGGATGATATAGAAAAAAATGACAATAGTTCAAGGGACAAAAGTGAAATTAACCCTAGAATATTATATTTAGCTTGAATGCTTCGGGTTTTGAATTGCTACATTTTGGGAAATTTGTTTTACCTTGCTGTAATCCTAGCCAAATATTTTTTTAGCTGAACATTATTTCAAAATGGATTGGGCTTCTCATGTTGACCATCTCAATTTGAGAGTGTTTAAATTTGATAGGTCTATTTTGTAACCGACTTTAGTGATCCGAACTGTTTACTTTTTAGGACTCGTTGAATAAAATATTCATGTAAAAAATCAAGATGATCGGATATCAGTAACTATATGTTTGAATCAAATTTGTATTACAAAAAATAGATGGCTATTCTTGAAATTATATTTGTCGTCCATTTAAAATAAAATAAAAACAAATATGATTCAAACATATAGTTGTCGATATCTAATCATCTTAATATTTTTGCATGAATATTCTAGTCAACAAATTCTAAAAGGTGAACTGTTCGGATCACCGAAATCAATTCCAAAATGGGCTTACTAAGCCTAAATGCTCTCTCAAGTTGAGATGACAACTTGAGAGAGAGAAGCCGAACCCTTTCAAAATATAGTTGATTAGTGTTATGTTTCCACTTCATTAACATGATCACTGACAGACCTTAAAAATCTATCAGGCTGAGGAATTCTCATCTCGGATTCAGAAGCTTGCAAGCCAAGGTTCTGCTGCGGACCGTGAATTGATGGGCCCAAAGCTCTGGATGACTTGATCTTCGATTTTGTACTTAGCTATAGATTTTTTTAATGTCAAATGATACTCTACAGAAAAGAGTTTAGAAGAAAAATGCTTGAGACCTCTAAATTGTGAGCTCTAGAAGAGCTCTAACCTGTGGGTCCCACTGTATGATTTGATATTTTTGTCTTTGTTTTGTTTTTTTATTTTTTTTTTTAGGTTGCCATGTCACTAGTGCTCTTATTAGAGCTCTATTATTAGAGCTCTTAATCACCACCCTTACTTCCTGAAGAAGAAACCGGGTGGCAACACAAAGCATTCGTTTTGTTTTCTCTTCGATGAAAACATGTATGCTTCTTCAAAATGTTATTTCCTTGTTCTCTTTTAAATGTGAAGAGTGAGGTAACCCTAGGTGGTCTGAATTTTATAGCTACAAGTAGTTGAATTCTTTTTGGATTGATTTGTTTTACTTTCATACATTACTGTACTTGACCAAAGATTTGTATTGAAGGAGATGTAAGATGATTACATTGTCGTCGGAAATATCGTACCCTAGTATAAATTATTTGTTTACTTTTAGAAAGAAAAGGGTTATTGTTATGACTTGCATCTTTTAACAAAGGGTTTGGCTATGTGAATGTAAATTTTAGTGTCCATAGAGAGGAACCATCATAAAAGAAAGGGTTATTATTGGGTTAGTTTCTACCATAGAAGTGTTATGATCTTACATATTTTAACAAAGGGCTTGACTATGGTATCTGTTGGTATTACTTATAAGTTAGCTTTTATAAAACCCTATTCTGTACAAACCTTCAACCCTGGCTTAAAATGTTGTCATATCATTGAATTAAAAGTTGTTATTTTCAATGGATTTGTTTTCAGCTATTGACTTTTGTCGCAAAATAAGAGAGAATAGAAAAACGCAGGGTACTCAGAAAGTTTAAATCTAATTAACACTTTATTTTATAATAATAAAGAACTTTGCAGACGACATATTTTGAGTTCTGTGACATTATGGTAGAAGCAAATCCCAATATTATATATATATATAGCCTTGCACTTTGAATGCACTTTGAATAAAATGAGCGATCAGTCCCCAAAGACTTCAATGGTTACCAAGTCTGGTTGACGTGCTTGGCTCCTAACTAGGGTTGTTGAATTATTTAGGCCTCAATATCATCAATCAAACTTCATCTATCCTTAATTTCTTGAAGACAGAAAAAAACTAAATATAGAAAAGAATACAAAATACACAAATGAATCAGATTGTACAAAATTTATTAAATCTTGTCCATCTGTGCATATTTTGTACTCGATTCTGTGATCGGTTTCTGTGTTTGTACCCGCCACTTTAATTGTTCAATTTTCTCCTTCTCCACCACCATGAACAGGAGTAGGAGGAACAGAACCAGGAGAGTTAGAACAGAGTGAAAGTCTTTCCAAGCGGCGAAAAGCAACTTCCAAGATTAAGGCTGTGGCGACGAGGATGAGGCGAAAAACTATGTCGTCATTGGTGCACATAGAGGAAGAGGAGTTAACCTCTTCAAGAAATGATCTAAGTTTATTTCTCAGTGCTTCAGCAATTTTCAATAGCATTGGTCTTATGCTTATGCTTATGCTTATGTTTATCCCACACCCACAGGTTAGAGTTCTTCCTATATTCCTCATTATTTCTCTTCTTGGAGATTTCCTCTGGCAGCTCCCTTTGTTTGAAATAAATAAATAAAAAATGAGATAAGTATAATTACAGTATTTTTTTATTTTTTTTTTGGTTCTCGTAGTTTTAATTTGAATAATTTAAACTAAACTCTACACTTTCAATTTTTTTGCAATGTTGTTCACCGTCATGCGTTGTTGACATTTTCAACCGAAAAATATCACTTATAAAAAACTGAATAGTCTAAAGTGTAATTTATTTGGTTTGAATTCTACTTGAGTTTTTTGAGTGACAAAGGGATCACATTGCAACAAAATTAATAGTGTAAAAGTCAAATTATTCATATTGAAACTACATGAATTAAACTGATACTTTACTTAAACTATAGGAATTAATAATGTAATTTACTCATAAAAAATTAAGAAATTATAAATAAATAATGATAAAAAACCTGGATTGAACTCCAGCAGAAAATTTTGTCCTTCTTTCATTCTCAGTACTTCACGCCATGCAGCTTCGTTATTTGCTATTGCACTGACCACATTGTACAAAAAAAAAAAATATATATATATATAAATTAGTGATAAATTTTATACAAAAAAATAAAATAAAATTTTGAATTTTTTAATAAATATGTAATTATTTTTTGAAAATTTCTTTGGGGCGTAATTTGCCACTTAAAAGAAGGCTAAATTACATTTTGTACTTTTACATTTTTATTTTCAATTGTAAGTCAACTTCCCATATTTTAAGTCAAGTTGCAATCTCTAGGGGTGAGCATGTTTAGGTTTTGAAGTAAACTAAGACCAAACTACTAATGATTTTATGAAATTTGAAATCAAATTGAACCATGAAAATCTTAGACACGAACCAAACTAAACCATGAAAACGCGATTCAGTATGGTTCGAAATCATGATTGTTATAAACCTTGTTATCATTCACAATATGATCATAACATGCTCAAATATTAAATAATATGCGATTATTTTACAAAAGATGAATTAAACCATTAGTTTTTGTAACTTAAGTAAAGTGTCATTTTAATTTCTGTAGTTTCAATTTAAATAATTTAACCCTTACATTTTTAATTTTGTGACAATATGGTCTTTTTGTCAATTACCGTTCAAAATGTTAACCACATATGATAGGTAAATCATATTACAACAAAATTCAAAATATAAAGTTCAAATTAAAATTACGGAAGCAAACAAATGGAATGTTATTGAAAAGTGGGAAGTGAACCTTTAACCGAGTGAAAAACATAATAAAATTTAGGAACCCAAATAAAAATAGAATTGGACACAAAAAATAAAGGGTAAATTGTATTAATAGTCTTTATATTTTGTTCATTGTATCATTTTGGTATTTATAATTTTAATTGGTTCGATTTTGACTTTAAATTTATGATTTTATCTCAATTTAATCTAATTAATTACAATTATAAGTAGTTTTTAATGAAAATGTGCATATAACAGCATGTGTTATACTTTTATAGGAAAATTTTTGAACTTATTCAACTGAATGAGTTAATGCCAATCAATTCAGTGATCATTTTTCTTCGAAAACTCTAATTGACATTATCAATTGAACAAAATTGACACAAAATTTAAAATTAAATATTAAAATTTGAACTAATAAAAATTATAGGGATCAAAATAAAATAAGGGGCAAAATACAGGCACTATTGGCATAATTTGCTCAAAAAATAATTGGGTGTTATTAAGGCTGTGTTTGGTGAATGGATTTGGAGAGGGATTTGAACAAGAGAAAAGGAAAATGTATGTAAAATGTAATTATATTTCATTCACATTTCACGTACCTTTTCTCTTTTCCTTTTCAAATTTATGAACTAAACGCAACCTAATAAATTTTGTCAAATCTTATCTATTTATATGAATTATGTCTGAATTTTGTATTTAATTTCTGTATACGTAGCATTTTCGTAAATTAAAAAAATAAAAAAAAAAAGAGTTAAATAAAGATAGAAAGGGACCTTAAAGGCTTCGTTAGGGGACCTTCTTGGCCGATGAAAGGTTTCTTCATTGACACTTGTTTGCCTACAAAAGTCTTGTTTGGCAACAGACTATATTAGTAATTTTTTAACTTTTTGACTCAAATATAAAGTAAAAAAATTAATATGTTTAGAATGATTTTTTGATTTTTTACGAAAAGATGTGCAAAAAGTAAAGAGAAAATAGAATTTTTGACTTTTTGGTATAGGTTGTTGACTTTTTGATTTTTTTAGTGACTTTTTGACTTTTAGCTAAAATCACCACTTGCCAAACGAGGCGTAAATTGACAAATTTGTCCCTAACTTTAGACATTTACAGTTTTTCAAAATTAGTCTAAAGGGACAAAATTGTCATTTATTACCTGTGGTGGTAGGCCGTCAACGTGATAGTGGCTTAGGCTACTCTCTTTTCCTTGTTTTTATTTTTATTTTTTAAATGTAGGTCAGTGACTTAGGTTACTATTTGACTTCTTTATCCTGAGTTTAGTTGGGAGATTTGGAAAGGGGAATAAAAAAGGTAAATAAAATGAGAATAAAATATATTTGCATTTTTCTTAATTTCACACACATTTTTCCTTTTCATTTTTAAATCCCTTCCTAGATCTTCCAACCAAACATAACATTAATATTTAAGACTATTTTAACCCAAACCTAGGTTCCCATATATGTGTGTGTAACATTTCTTGACAAATTATATTTTTAGAGATTTGGGGAGAGATTTGGAAAGGGAAATAGAAAATGTGTGTGAAATTAGGTAAAATATAGGTATGATTTATTCACATTTCACCGATATTTTTTATTTTCCTTTTCAAATCCCTACTCAAATCCCCTAACTAAACACAACATTAAAGAACCACTATCGTTGTGGTTGAGACAGTGAGTGGTACAATTTGTAAAAACCCTTGTTAGAAAACACATAAACAAACGCCACCAAAAATATTCCAAACGGCACGCAAAGTAGCATAAAAATACAACGCGACAGAGATAATTGAATCCTCTTAGATACACTTTTTTATAATTATAATATTTCATAATAAATTATATTTTTTTATCAAAATAATTTGTAACATATTTATAAAAAAATTATTCATAACATTTGCACTATATTATTCATAACATAATATTTTAGTGATACATGCCATAGATCCAAGTAACTTTTATTACAAAATGATATAACATACCATAAAATTTGTGTTTTTGCCACAAAAAATTGTAACTTTTTCATAGTGTGTCACTTTTTAAGGGCCTATACGTCACTTTTTCATAACTTTTTCATAGTGTGTCACTTTTTAAGGGCGTATACGTCACAAATTTATTTATTATCCTTTGAATTTTAAATTTGTCACTAATGAAAGGCCTTGGTCAAAATGAAACTACTTATACATTTATTTTTTGTGACTTATAAGTTATTAAACGAAAAGAAAAAATTAACTTTATTTTTTTCTGGTTTTAACTTTAAATTAATTAATTAATTTATTTATTTTTGGCACAAATCTAAAACTCAAGTTCTACACCCATTTTTTTAATACATTGGATATTGAGGGGTATCTAATACACATCCTCTTGATCTGGTCATTGGCTAGTTGTGACTGACCAAAATAAAATAAAATTTGGAGATAGAAGATATTTGTCCTTTCAACAATATTTATATGTGGAATATAATGTATTTGTTAATAAATAGGTAATCACTCATTCAGTTAAGTCGAACATAAAATTAGTTTCACCTCACTTATTTTGTCAAAACTAGTTTGCTTGATGAAATATAATGGAGTAAAATAATTATTCATTAATCTTTATGAATAACTATTGGTGTGTTTGGTTTCAATTTTTTAGAAATTGAGCCTCCGTTTGGTGGAGTTTTCAAAATCTAGTTCCACACTCACTTTTGAGTGTGGTGTTTGTTT